TGTATAATGTAATATAGGCTTGTCTGATTTAACATTAACCACCAATGCTCCAGATGCTGGGGACGAAGATGTTTTTATGGTAAGAAAAATTATGATTTTATTTATCAACATTTTTATTAACTTTAATCAAGAAAATTTTCAAAAATGTTGCGCATTCATAAATAGAGGAGAATAAAATAAAGTTTTCTAAAATTGTAAAACTTTGCAGACTTTGAATTTGCCAGTGGAACCACCTGAGCCACGTTCTTCTTCAGATACACCTCATGGAATAGTTCGAGTACCAAATTATTCTCAATATTCAGAACTTCACGCCGATTCACACCGATCTATTCATCATATTGGTGGTTCTTCCGTTAAGGGTCCACCATCGCAACATCCCTTGGCATCTGCTGCAGATATCGGATCAGATAATTATCCTTATGTGCAACTTACGACGCTTAACCATGAATATTTATACCCAATCATCGATGATCACAAAAGTGAAAGATTAGATGGACATAATACTTCCAATAGTGGAAGTTCTCTGAAGAAGCCAGATATTATAATATCACAACCTTCAAAAAATACTATGAAACGTAATGTACGTTTACGTTGCAAGCATTGTCAAGAGCTATATTCGGAACAGCATAATCCGAAAGGTTCCTGCGAATACGCTCCTGATCCAATTAGACGTGGAATTGCGAAAGTTTCTTGTTTATCATGTGCCCAATGTATGTTATATCATTGCATGAGTGACGCTGAAGGTGATTTTGCACAAAATCCTTGTAGGTAAGTTTATAATATTTCAATTGTCATCAAAAGTGATTGCTCTCTATTATTTTCTCAAATTTATATATGCATAACAAACGTATCACATTTCAATCATTTTTTTTTACTTTATGTTGTACTACAAAAGTTTATATTTCTTTAGAAATTTGTTGCATATTCAATTTTTCACTTGGAGATTGTATAAAAAATATTAAATCAGTTTTTTTAAAAAATAAGTTTGGACATAATACTACTCTTTTGAAACTATATATGCGTTAGTATGTTTATATTGTTACTACAGATTTTTAATTTTTTTTCTTTTGATTGATAATTTTTTCTATACAATCTCCTTTTAAAAATATAATCGAAAATTTGATCATATGATTGAATAAATTATAAAATATTAAATCATGCAGTTGTAGCACAGAAGAGGGATGCGGACGCAGATGGTTTGGTTTAGCCTTGTTATCATTGATCGTTCCTTGCTTGTGGATATATCCTCCACTTAGAGCTATACATTGGTGCGGGATGTCCTGTGGAATGTGCGGCGGGCGTCACCATCCTATGGAATAACTGGAGGAACCCTTTGATGTCTCTGCTCCGTATTCAATTGGATCAACCAACTTTTCTGCATCGTATAATGCAGTCGCCAATGTGTATGAATGTCATGATCTGAGTATGGGTCGTTGTCAGAGATATCAAAGGGGTAGACAACTTCCGGTACATGCACTTATTCATCAACGTCATCTTTAAAACAAAATACAGTCAAAGTGGAAATACCCAATTTAGCACAAGATGTCGCATAGCTCCAACATAATGTATATTCCGTACATTTTGTATATTTTATTAGAACAAAATATGTTATTTAGTCTCACCTGTACATTAAACAATTTGTGGTAAACTAGTATTTACAGTTTGAATGATTAATCTATGGAAAGCACATCAAATGGATTCAGACCAACTATTTGTGATACATGGTGCACATTGTGAGAGTGTAACTTCTGTGAGTTGACACAAAAAAATTAATTTTTCTGTTTTCAATTTGACACTAATTTTTACACATACATATAATATTTAATGGAGAAAGATATAACTATATAAATAAGATAAATTATAAATAAATTTTGCTGAAAATTGTCAGAATGGAGAATGTCAAAACGTATTTGATTATTAGATTCTGATTCAGTTAACAATTTAACTCGCTGTGAGTTAATCTTTATTAATTTATTTTCACTTTTTCTAACATCGTAGAATTAAAAAATAAACTTTCTTACAAGTTTTTTTTTAAATAATATGACCAATGATTGACAAATCTAACAATGTGTATATTTGAAGATAAATACATATACACAGATATATACATATAAAATTGTTATATTAAAATATTTCAGGCGCATAATTTTAAATTTACGTTAATATATTTATTTTTTTACATTATAAAATTTTATTTTAAATTATAAGACTATATATTTTATCACATAGAAGAGAGCACATGTAATATCTAAGTCATAATATTCTTTTTTTAAAGTCATTTTTTATTTAAATATAAAGTTCTGTGCTATTTGTTATTTAATAATATTAAAATTCTTGTAAATATCAATGATAAAAATTGCTACTGTTTTATAAAGTATCGTCGCACATAGAAGTTCATTCTCATAATATTTGCCTTTACTTTTTACTAATTCACGTTTAGTACGCGCGCTGGCACGTGTGTTGTGTGGTATTGTGTGTGTATGTGTATGCGCGCGCGCGCGCGCGTGTGTGTGTGTGTGTGAGAGAGAGAAAGAGATTTATTTATATAAATAAATTAACATATTTGTACTATACTTTTTATTATAGATATATGCAGAATGTTACTAAAATATTTTGATAGAAAAAAGATTATATCAAGCTCAAGAAAAGAACATATATGCAAAATTTGCTTAAAATTTTAGTAACATTCTGTGTGTGTGTGTGTGCGCGTGCGCGCGCGCGCGTGTGTAGGATTTATACATAAAGTATGCAAGCTTATTTTCTCGGAAATTAGCAGTAAAATAGTAAATTCATACTCTTTACATATTAAAAAAAAAATTATATATATGTGTACACACGTTATCTAATTTAAAAATAATTTAATTTAATAAGAATGTCTTTATGCTTAAAATGTTAGAAGAAATGATATATTGCTAATTTTAATAGCTACCGAGAAAACAACTTGCAACATTTTATGTAAAGTCTGTATATATAGAAATGTATAAAATGTTTCAAAACCACATGTCCTTTTAATCACAGCTTTTTTGACCAATTTAGAGATGTTTCGCGATGGATTTCATTATTTAAGCGCATTTTTAACATTTTTAACATTACATGTCTTTGCGATGTTATAAGTATAATGTAAGTTAAAATTGAATTATAAGTGTAACATAAATTAAGATTTCTGCAACCATATTGGATTATAACATGAAAAGCAAAATATCTTGTAGAATTTTTGTTGTATTTTATGTAAATAATCTTTTACAGTCTTTGTATTTGTTAAATCTAGATTTATAAAATAAAGACTATCTTTTCTGTTTGTGTATTAATAAATAGCTGTATTTTATCAATTTTAGTCACAAGGTTTATTCCTAGTGGAATATAAGACACGTGTGGCTTATGAATTACATACTACAATCAGTTAGATCATAAAAGACAACTGAAAAAGTTAATTTCAATTAATTTTATTCCAACATATTTTATCAATATATATTATAAATAAGAGTGAATAAAACAGTTCAACAAAGAAATTTAATTTTTCGCTTCTTAAATAATCCAATATGGCTACAGTAAGTATTCACAGACTCTTGAAGAATACAATTATCTATTTTCTCCTCAACACAAAACTTACATTGGGATAATAATAAGTAAATAGACTTTTCATTTATTCAAGTATATATTCTTATTTCTTTAAATATGAGATACCATAAAAATGTAAAACATATACATATATTTGATAGAGAACTTCTTTCTGTTTAAAATAGAAATTTTTTCACGATATTTGATTTGATTTAATAATTCAATTTGAATAATGAAGTGTTTATTTTTAAATTTATGTTACCCTAATATAGTTTGTGTGTATGTTAGAAGTATTTTATTTTCTAGTTAATTATTCGGAAATAAAATAGATATTTAAACATTTTAGTTAAGAAATATCAATTTAAAACAAACCAAAAGAATCTCTGTAATAAAAGAATATTTTAGGGTTTTTTATGTGTGTAACTAGTGGCACAATAAGAAAAAAAATGACAAATTTACATAAAAAAATAAATTAAAAATTTAGAACAAATTTTGTATGTGATTTTTTTTTTTTTTTTTTTTTTTCAGAAAATCGATTTTAAAGATTATAAAAATTGGAAAAATTAATTTCTTATCTATATTTCTTATAAGTTATTAGATTGGCGCGTCAGGCTTTGGTATATGTTTCATGTGCGTAAATATCATAAGTATCATTATATTCAAATGAAAAAATTTGTGTAGCACTTAAACAAATAAGAACAAGTGCCACTAAATATTATTTTTTAAATATTAAAGTTAAAAAATCAATTAAATTTTAATTTTTTTAAACTAATTAAATAGTGGAGAAAATAGAATTCACAAGATTTCGAATTTATTAAAAAGTAATAAACTTTATATATATATATATATATATATATATATATTGTGAAGAATTCTATAGAGAATGGAAGAAAAATACTATATATTCAATTCGATCAGTAAAGAGATTTTTATATGAAATGACATTATTGACAAGAATTTATGTTATCTATAATAAAAATTTAAAAATACTCTTGTGAGATATTATAATATTCCAATCGCGCCAATCTAAAAAGTTAAACTCGATTTTTAATGACCTGGTGTAATGTCACATATGTTAGCAGCAATATTTCAAGTGTAACTCAAATCAGGTAAAATTATCTTATAAAAAAAGAAGCAGAACAATAAAACAAAAAATATTTAAATTAATTTCATGTGACATGTAAAATATCAATAGTACATTTCGCTTTCTTAGAACATTATTTATTGTTTAATTTTCAAAAATTATCTTTATGAAAAAAAATTTTTGTGTGAAAAATCTTATCCCTATATATAATGAATTTAATGTAGATATTTATTCTCATATTTAATCAGAAACTTTAAAAGTTGTCTTGCATATATAGATAATTTATATTACAAGTGTGCTTATTGTATCTTCTTCGAATATTATAATAGAAACTTTGTTGATATTAGATTGTTTATTGCTATAAAAGTTACTAAATTTTATGTAAATTTCACACATTACTGTTAATTTTAAGTATTTGGGTGGTATATATTTGTAATATAGTAATTATATACTTGTATATATAATATTTTATTAATGGTGGAAAATATTTTTTTAAATACACGCACGCACACGCACATACACTACACATGCATATATACATATACATATATAGAATAATTCTATTTTATATTGTACAACTGATATATTTTTGAAATTATTTATTTTTAAAACAATAATTTGAAATAAAAATTATAGATATATAAATCGTGTGATTAACATCTATAGTTTTGTTCCATAAAACGAATTTGAGACTTCTACTTTTTTTTTTAAGAGAAGTAAATTTTCTTTTTTGAAATATATAATTTATATTATACCTATATGATTATCATAATTTTTGTATAAATATCAATTTTACTGATTATTGTTCATACAAAAGTAGAAACACTAAAAAATAATTATCAAATGTATAATATTGATTATTTTATAAAAAAAAAAATATAGAGAATATTTAATGGAAGAGTATATAAGAGAGTACTCTATAAGATATTTCAAATTTTATGTCAATACAATAATATCAAAATAAATTATGAAATAATTTGTATTTTGTAAATTTGGTTTTATAATTTTCTACCTTAATACTTTTACATTTAACTAAAATAAAAATTAGGAAATAAAAATAGGAAAATTGATACATACACGAGTTTCAAAAAGTTTAAATTTCGAAAATCTCTTGAAATAAAACCGTGCTGATTGTATACGAGAAACGTTTTTGTAATTTTTATTTTAAATATAATATATATTGTATATTTCTTAAGTGAATAATTTGAGAAATAATTAATTGAACATTTTAAAATGGGATATCCTATATACACAAATACAAAGCTAATTTTCTCGACAAGTATGTTGTGATGAAATATACCAAATGAAAAAATTGTGTGATAATTCCTACAAGAGCGTATGTAAATGTATAATTAAGTGAGCGTATGGACTTTTATTTAAATTGCTTTAATAACAAAGCAAGTATGATAAATGTGATCAAACTCTAAAAGATTCAACATGTCTGTAAAAAGTTAGAATGTATAAGATAGGAATACAAATTATACACATGAACGCGCGCGCGCACACACACACACATACAATATATAATAAAATCTGTATGATAATTTGGTTGTTGGTGATAATAAATATAGCTAAAAAATGAGTCGGAATATACATATATATCTGAATGCAAAAGAGAAGATTTCATATAGAGAGTGAAAGCAGAAGGAAAAGAAACAGAGAAAGTCAAAAGAAATAAAAAATGATTAAATAAATTAATAAGATTATTAGAAATACAAAAGAAAAAAAGGATAGAAAAGAGGGAATAAGAGCACAAAATAAAAAAAAAGGAAAAAACAAAAGAATATACATATATATAAAGAGAGTGCTTTGGCTATAGAACTATATAGTCAAAGAGAGAATAGAAATGAATAGAGATGGAGAGGAAAATAAAACAATATCTTGCGTGCGTGTTACATGTGTGTGTGTGAGAAGAAATAAATAGAAAAGAACATAATTAAGGAATGCAAATTTATGCGAATGCAGGATATTCCATATATCTTATTACTTATATTATTTAGTATACTTTTCAGGGTAAATATTAAAAAGCATTCGATATTAGTTTCGAGCTATAAAAAGAATTATATTATTCTCATAGTCATGTGCAAGAATATATGGCATTTAACAGTATTATCATTGATTTAGCATTGAGTCAGAATGAAGAATTAAAGAGTTTTGAGAGATTAAATTTACAAAATATGTTGTACACACACACACACACACACACACACACACACACACACACACACACACACCCACCCACATATATATTGTATATATTAGCATTTATCAATTATTAAGTTCAAGTTTCTTTAAGTGATATTTAATCAAATAACACGTACATAAAGGCATCATTAAAAAAATCTGTAATGTGTTTAAACTTCTTTTAAAAAATTGTAACTTTTGTAAGACATAATCTGGGATATCCTGCATGTATATTAATCATATTTGCATTCATGAATAAACAAATAATAAGTTTAAAAGTTCTCAAAGAAAATGAGAAAATGTTTATGGTGCCTGTTTGAAGAGAGTATAATATCTTTAATATTTGTGGCAGCATGTTGGTTTGAAAACTAATTGGATATTTTGCATTAATCATATGTAAATGCTGCAAGAAAAGAGAAGTTAGATTTTTAATTCGCGGATACATTATATCATAAATGTTAAATCTTGTAGAAAAAAGATATGTATCCCTTATAAAATCTAGATATATATAAGAAATAAATATATTGTATTATAAAAAAAAAAAAACGTTTTTTATACATAACACAAATGATATTTGTTATTTTTTAAAGTGTTTGTAGACTTATTTAATTTATGATAATAGTTTTACATATATAAAAATATACACAACACAAGAAGAAATGACGCATTAATTTCCGTAATTGTGCTATTTATTATGAAAAAAATGTACAAATGAATAATATTAATTACAAATGTATTTACATGCTCGACTTAGTTGAACGAAAAAAAAAATTAACTTTTAATAGCTTTTTAATGCGGCGTTGGAGTATGTCCATCCACATAGAAATTTCTAGTTGCCTTCGGTAACTTTAGTTCTATACCATCTAATTTTTTGGTCAAAATTATTTGACAACCTAAAAAAGAAATATATAAAAAGGATGTGTGTAAAAAGGATTTATGCGGATGTGTGCATGTATGTGTGCATATATGTAAGGCTAAATCCATATCAGGTTGTAAAGTAATAATTAGAAAATCATTGTGTCTCTTTCTTTATATTAAAAATAATTTTTTTTGTACTTGAAATAAATTTTTTCATCACAGATTCACACACATTCTGTTTTAATAAAATATTAAATATCAAAGATTTATTTTATATATAGATATGTATATATGATGATAAATCTTGATGGTGAATCTTGAAATGAAATGATCACAAAGTCTGTACAGTTTAAAAAGAGAAATTTTCCAGATACAAAACATCTAAATATATTTTTTTAGGAGTGAACTTTAAGATTGCAAATAATAAATGTTGCTATACCCAGTCTAGAATTTTCCTTCAGAAAAGGTGCTAAGTCTAAGAGATCTTCTTCTTTTTCCTCAGGAACCGAAAGTTTATCCACATAATCGTGATGTACATATACATGACAAGTTGTACATGCTAAGGAAGCTTCGCATGCTCCTTCCATTTCAATCCCATATCTATGAGCCAAATAAAGTACATTGTCTCCTACTTTTCCTTTTATATAATGCTTTTTGCCTTTTTTGTCGATAAAAGTGACATTAACTCTGAAAAGATAATCCATAAACTATTCTTTTCTATTTTACTTTTCTTTTACACATTAGAAAATTATATAGATTTAATCAATATTGCAACAAGTGTGTTAATAAGTAGCAATATTATATTTAAATTATTTCCAAATTTTTCTAAAGAAATATGTAGATTGTGACCATACATTGCAATACATGCATACATACATATGTGGGTGTGTGTGTATACACACATATATTAGGAGTATATAATAAAATTAATTAAGATTATAATCAAAAACATTAACATTAACAAAGCTCTTTCATCAAAAAGAAATTTACAAAAATCGTTTTCTTATAACTGAAAAATTTATGTTAATCTATTCCTTTTAATCCTACATTAACACATATATAAGAAATATAAATTTTATTAATTTTGATTCAAGTAGCATATAAACATAAACCATTTTAAATATATACACTTTTTTCTCATTTCTTCGACTATAAAAAAAATGCATTTTATATAAAATCTCAATCTTGTTATGTAAAAAATTAGTATGACAGATTTATCCATTTTTTAAATAAATTCTAAAAGTGTAAAAATACATTTATTTTACCTACATATCAGCCTCTGTTTTAGGATCTTGCATTTCATATTCACCATGAAACATACCTATAAGAATATTTGTTTCAGTTTCAGTTTTTTTTAAGTGAAATATTAAAATTGTTGATTAATATATAGGAGAAATGTGATTAATCTTTAAAAATGTCTTTAAGTTTAAGAAATCTGTTGTATTGATGAGAAATAGTGTGATATATGTATATATTAAAATTGAAAACGAGCATTGAACTTTGCTATGCGTGGTAAAAGGAAAAGGTTAATGACAATGATTTATATTGTGTGCAAAGTTGTTTGCAATCAACAGCTAATTTAGATCCACGAAATTAATCAACTGATTAATTAATCAGATATTCTACTTTCCACACGTAGCAAAGTATGAAAAAACATCTCTATATTTCTATCCGTGTATATATATATATATATGTTTACATATGCTTAAATCAATTTAATCTCAATGATCATTATAATTGATGATAAATTGTTATAACTTTGAAAAACATTTTTTACGATTAGTCACTCTTCTCGAAACGCATTAAGCAATGGTTTAACTTTTTAAATATTTTATTTTTCGTATAAAGATTAATCAAATAACTATATTTTCGTCTAAATTAAAAGTAAGCGGCTTATATTAAATATTTATTTCATTATTTGCGATATTATCCATACTTACATTTAGACGTATGCATTTCATGGTTAGATAACCTAATCAAATGGTTAGTAGGTACATTTCTTTGTTTCAAGCGGAATGATAATGATCGGAGTATAAATGCCATATTTAATATGATTTAATATTTCACAATCTTAAGACAGTCGTATATATTAATCCATTGATCTTTATCAATAAAACAATGATTTTGTATGTACACATAAATACATAAGAGGTTATGTTAGGTCTGTTCTCATCAGTTGAATTGGCTGCACTAGTTCAGAGTTTATTTCTTTCCTTCCAATGGAGTGGAAAAAGATAAATTGGGTTTGTTCTTTATTGCTGCACTAGTGAATTAGTGTGTACATTGGTGCAGTAAGTTAGAGTGAAACAAAATATATTTATCTCACTTTAACGTATTGCACTAATTTGCCAGTGCAGCAATAAAGAACAAACCCATTCTAACCTAGTGCAGTGAGCTATAAAAAGAATAAACTTATATATATATATATATTGATAAAAATGTACAGCTTTTTATCAATGTTACATAAAAATGCGATTATATTGTTCTAATGTAATATATATTATTGTTCTAATATTGTTTAGTTAAAAAGAACAGACCTATATAATAATTGATTATCTATTGAATGAATAAGTTATTGAATTTCTGCTGAATAAAAATTAATTTTTTTCAATATTAATTCTTTCATATTTAGAGAGAGAGAGAGATAGAGATACTTATATATATATTGTCTACATGCGTGTCATTATGCAAATAAGACATTTTGAGAGATACGCAATAATCATTTAATTCAGATGATTAATGTACACAACACAGAAATATTTTAAAGTGATTCTTTTATAGGTATATGTAGCTTTGATTTCAATAAATTAGATGCAGATTGTGTATAACTAAATATGCGTGAACTGATAACAATTATTTATCATCACTTTATTATTTATTAATAATATTTATTATACATCGAATTTTTTTATGTTCGTTGCTTTTAATTATGTAAAAATACATGCCGTTATTATTTTTGCATCATGTTAATTTATTATTTAATTTTACAAGTCTCATATATTTTTTAAAAATATACTTTTGATATTAATTCCATGTGAATTCAAACTGAATTGTGTGCGAGAGGAAAAGAAAAAAATATATATATGCACAGAGTAATTATAAAATGAGTAAATTATAACAAAACTTTTCATTGGCAGAATACTGTGTTGAGCAACTTTTTAGTCACGCTCTCGACACCAGATATACGCATTATCGAAAAGTCGCTGCCACGGTGACGAACCTTCCCAGTTCCAATCTATTGGTTTCCAAGGCCATTGCCACATTTGCGTGCACCTTTCTGGATGTGGCATCATCGCCAGATGTCGACCATTTTTAGAGCAAACACCGGCTATGCCATTTACACTACCGTTCGGATTCATGGGATAACGTTCAGTCGGATTGCCGGAATCGTCCGTATACCTAATAAATAATACAACGCATGTACAAAAAGAATGTGATCTTAATCACACTAAACAAATATACAAACATAAAATATCTTACAATGACAATGTTTCTCTTTCTTTCACATTTTTTTCATGAAAAATTGTCTTTTTACGTAAAAATTCGCATAATAAATTAATTGAGCAGAAAATAAAAATATAAAAAGCATACCTGATTGGCAAGCAGTTATTTCTCCTAAGAGATTTTAGAAGCTCCTCGCGAAAAATAAATCTGCCTTCTCCATGAGCCACCCATATGCCAAGAACGCTACCCTCCATTCCTTTTAACATAATCGATGGCGAGTTCTCGATTTTAACAGTGCTCCATCTACATTCGAATCTTTCCGACAAATTATGATCCAAATAAATTCCCTCGTTCATATTTTTTTCGATGTCTTCGTCACCTATCCATCCTAGCAAACTCATCAATTGACAACCATTACAGACCCCCAAGCTAAAAGTGTCTTCGCGAGCGAAGAATCGTTGCAACTGTTCGCGTAGAGATGGATAAAAGAGGAAGCTGGCTGCCCATCCTTTCGCAGAACCGCAGACGTCGGCGTAACTGAAACCTCCGGGAAATATAATACCTCGGAAAATATCCAGGGTAACATGGTCTTTCAGCAGATCTTGCATCGTAACGTCCCAAACGTCGAAGCCAGCTTCCAATAGAGAAGCGACCATCTCTCTATCTCCGTTAATTCCTTCTTCTCTTATCACGGCTACTTTGATATTTTTCGATGGATTCGTTAATATCGAATTAGATCTAACGGGATCGAAACTGAGACGGTAAGCGGGAACAGTTCGTTCTCGTAGCTTAGAAAATTCTTCCAAGGCGCAGGTGACGTTTGTCTGATGGCATTCCAGCTGATAACTGGTCTCTTCCCAAATACTCATCGAATCGATTACCGTAGTTTTTAACGCAATATTACCGCGTATTTTGACGATCACTTCCGAATTCATTCCGAAGTCCGTGGACTCTCCGATCAAGTACACGGGAACTTTGTAGCGCTGAAACATTTCCATCGCTTCGTCACGATACTTTTCGTCAATCTCCAGTATCCAGCCAATCTCCTCGGAAAATAAAATGTTAATAGCAGATGCAGATTTGTGAGTTATGTCGACATTTATCCCTGAGATTCCGGCAAAGCACATCTCTAGAAGGCATGTGATCAGTCCACCATCGCTGACATCATGACCGGCGAGGACCTTTTTATCGGCAATTAATTGTTGCGTAGCATCGAAAGCGTTTCTGAAAGTTTGCGCATCTTCGACATCCGGGACGTCGTCGCCCAATTGATTGTAGACTTGAGACAGAGCCGTTCCACCGAGTCGGCTTTTTCCACCAGACAAATCGACAAAGAGCAGGTAACTTTGCCGTCCTGCGGCAGGAGCCTTGAGATCCGGGGTAATTACTCGGCGAATGTCGGGACACGGCGCGTAACAAGACACGACAAGAGCGCCGGGTGCTTTGACGACATCCTTCCCGACACGCGTGGCCATACTGAGCGAATCCTTGCCACCATCGATCGCGATTCCGAATTCTTTCATCAGGGAACACATCGCCGAACAGGCTTCGTAGAGCGCCGCGCCTTCGCCTGGAAGTTTCGCCGGCCACATCCAATTCCCGCTGCATTTCACGTCCCGCAGATTGCTGATACGCGCGAACACTAGATTACTGAGAGCCTCGGCAACCGTCATTCGAGCGCCAGCCGCGTCATTCACCAGTCCTTTAATCGGTTGTTCGCCGATAGAAGTCGCGATACCTTCTAGAGAAAAATGTGAAATAGCTACCACTGCAACGTCTGCTAGAGGAATATGCAATGGGCCGACACATTGCTGCTGGGCCACTAAGCCCGTTACGCAACGATCCACCTTATTTGTTAGATACCTAAAAAAAAATGTTATATCGATTTTTTTATGTTTTCGATCTTGTGTGTGTAATATTTACATATAATTGACAAAAAGAAATCATATCTAATTGTAAGTTTAATAAGAAATTTAACATCTTTGTTTCCCTCAAAAATATATAAAAAACATAAAACTAAAATGTTCTATTGTAAAATGCAATAATAAAACAAAATATACCGCTTGCTAGCCACCGAAGGTAATCGAAGAACTCTATCCAAGGCGCTAAGAACTGTCAATTCATCGGGCAACTTCATGAGAAATTTCTGCGGCGATATCTTATTTAGATGGAAAACCTTACGAGGCATTTTTCCAAGAATAACTTCTAGATCTAGATTCACCGGATGCTTGCTGCTATCCAGGCTTAGGCTTTCGTCTTTGTTATTAAGGTACTTTGCATGTTCACAATTTTCTTCCTCGGAAACGATGATTTTTCCATTCCCAGTGACAGTGCCAACGAAATTGATGGGGCATTTCTCACGCGTCGCGATTCTTTTTAACAAATCAGCGTCCTTCGATTTACACAGAATCGCGTTGCTCTCTTGATATTCCGCGCCCCAAAGCTCTAATGTACTGATACTAGGGTCACCGAGGTCAAAATTCTTAGTAAAGATTACTGCACCAGCGGGCTCCACTAGTTCCTTGAGGACGTTACCGTTACCACCGGCACCTTGATCGTGAATACTGAGAATCGGATTGTTATCTCCTAATTCCGTGCATGCACGCACCACGCGATTTAATTTCTGTTCCATTTCGGGATCACCTCTTTGGACGGCACCAAAGTCTAATTCGGTACTGTTGTCACCCTGTACCTCTACGGAACTCGCTGAACCACCACCTACGCCGATTCGATAGACGGGTCCACCGATTTTTATCACTTCCATACCCCGTTCTGCTGGAACCTGAACAAGGAACAGCTAGATATATGTCCAGTAAATGATATATAAACTGTTTTTTTTTTCAGCAAAAAAATCATTTCTTACAGTGTGATAAAAGGAACAAAATCTGAAATAATTTCTTTAAATTTGAAATAATTTTTAGATGTATACAGATATTAAGTTAAACATGTGTAGATTGAGCTATATATATTTGCACTTATTAATGAGTAACAATTAAAAAGAAATTCTCTAGGCATAAATATTATCAATTATCGAATACGAATAATGGTTGAATAAATGAATAATTTATTTATTTAAATGTATAGTGCAAAAAAATTGATGATTTTTTACTTTTAACATTATAACTCAGTATGGTAGTTATAAGGGACAAAAAATATAACATAAAATTTAATAAACATTAATAATGCCGAGATAAGTGATCTAAAGAAATTAATTGTTGCAAGATAGATTATCAGCAATACTTAAATAAACATTAGAGAATCTTGCCTTTTTAGCCAAATTTGCATCCATTGTTCCTAATCCTCCACTGAACATTATAGGTTTGATCCATTCTCGTCTCTCTCCCGCGATATTGGTCGCTCCATAAGAACGCGCAAAGCCAGACACGACAGGTTCCCCAAATTTGTTCCCATAATCGGAAGCGCCGTTACTCGCTTCGATTATTATTTCTAACGGCGATGCCATGTTACTGGGATAAATTGCATCCTTTTCCTCCCATGGCAAATCATAGCCTGCAAGAGAAGAATTATGTATTTAGAGCAATTTAGCAATATTGCAAATTTAGGAGTTTATTTCTATTTAATAAATAGGATAATCTGATAAATTTTAGTTTTTTAATCATAAACGTAAACGAATAACTGTAAGTCCAAGATTAGACATGTGGAACAATCAGCATTATATATACATATAAGGATATACATATATACACACACACACACATTCACACATAAAAGGAAGGGTTCAATTTGGTTAATTTAATTATTATTAAAGTATATACCTGAAACATGAAGATTACCAATGCTGTAACCTGCAGTGCCCGCTATGTAATTTCCTCCTCTACCAATTCCTTGAACGTCTCTTAATCTTCCTCCAGTTCCTGTTGTGGCACCACTATTACGATATTATTTGTATTTCAACAAGAGGATATATAAAAAGCATACGTATATAAATAAATTTAAATATAATAAAAAATATATTAAATTACTCGTCAGTGATGAAATAAGCTAAATCGTCAATATACATATAATAAATAAAAAAAGGATATAACAAAAGGAAAAAATTTTACAGATTAATTCAAAATTATTAATTACAATAAGATGACATATTACACCTCTAATTTATATATACTATTTCAATTGTCAATACTTGTGTTTTAAATTATCATTCTGCAGTACTTGAGAGATTTAATAAAGCTCATATACAATTTTAAATTAAGATAAAAACACTGCATGAACATATAATCGAGTCATTAACTTGAAATTTTATTCATTTATCATGTAATTTAAATTTACCTAAAAGGTGCCACACCAGTTGGAAAATTATGCGTCTCTGCTGTAAAAATGAGATGCTGCTTGATGTTTTTTAGATGAAAATTGCTACATTTGTCAGTTTTTACAGGACGCAGGACAGGGACTTGAAATCCTTCTATAGCACTACTGTTGTCGCTAAATTTAATCACATTGTTTGGATTCGAATAATTTTGTGTATCCATAACCAAGTCAATTAAGGATTGTTTTTTTTCTTCGCCATCCAAAATAATACGTCCCTTAAAGAACCAGTGGCGACTATGTTCACTATTAGATTGTGCAAGATCAAAACATTCTACGCTTGTTGGATTACGTTTTAATTTTTGAAGGAACAATTTTGTATAAAAATCTAAATCCCAGTCATCAAATGCCAAACCTGTGAAATAAAATTATAGAGTAAAAAAATTGATATAATTTGAAAAAATATAGAAAAAAGATTAGAACAAATTATTCATGGTGAATAAAAATCTGTACATTAATTTGCTAACGCAATAAAAATGTATTTTATGTAATCTTAATCATTTTCGAGAATTGTATTTATCTGAATACTGCCATTTGTTCCGCTCACTCTTGAGCTTCTATTTTCATAACAATTACACACTTTAAAAATGTTAAAAGATATTTTAATTTTTAATCCAAAGGAAAGCCTTAAAAGTCTAATTTTTCTTAATCACACACACATACACTCTACTCACCCAATTTCAAATTAACTTCTTGCAGAGCTTGTTTTCCTTCTTTGATTAAATCGACTTCAAACCATTTCTCTGGCCTAAAGCCATGATCAAATGTTTCGATTGGTTTTACGTATCTACATTCTGTCATTCTATCTCCCAATACATCTACAATCTATGAAATAATACGTTATTTTAAATAAAACAGATTGCATCATATACATTGCAAGTACATCTAATATTATTAATCATCATAGGAATTTATCACCAATAGTCGAGATAATGTAAAGAATATACATACGTTGCTTTCTACTTTCTCGTCAAATGTCCCTTTAAACTTGACGAGATATCTAATTGCCCTTTCTACCCTCGTGATTTTATTCAATTTCACAGATTTACAAATGGAAACTACATTAGTAGAAAATGCTGTTGAGAAGTTCAACCTATAACAGAGAATTGTTTTATAAAAATCATGAGAAATTGAATTTTATAGTCAGAAATAAAACGCACAATTATATGTATTATGTATGCAAACTTTTACCTGGGTCCAATTTCAATAACAATAGCATTATCTTGAACATGATTGAATACACTGTTATATTTCAAGCATTCTCGTTCGAAAGGGGGTCCCAAGATCCACTTTAATACGACTTCCTCTTCATTCTCGAGCGGCTCGGTGGTCTGCACGTAATAACACAATTCTGTCTCAAGATCGGTCACGGAGGCTTCGATTTCCGACACTTTGTGTAGTTTACTCTTCAGCTGGCCTGCCTTCAATCCAGGAACCTTGTAAAATTTTAAGATGCGCATCTTCGAAAAGAGAAAGATACGGCGAAAGAGAGAGACAGATGCTGACAATTGTACGACAGACACGCAGAACTATTCAAGATTAGAGTGTGGTAGAGCGCGTTAACCATCTCGTTACTCAATGTATTTATGAAATGATATCGCGTATATCACTTTATGAAGCAAGAAATGTTTATGTCGTTTATTACGATCCGAAGGTCTAACTCTGAACAATTTTGAGAGAAAGCAATACACGCGATATAGGAAAATTAAATTACAAAAATCAAGTCAAACAATAAAACATATGCGGCTACATAATTCGATCAGTAATTCAATATTTTTCAAGCATATAACACGCGCAATATAGTTTTTTTTAAATATAAAATTTGAATTACCAATCCTTAGACGAACTTGTGATTTTGATCGTTTCCATAAAAACTATTATATATACACACGTGTATATATATATATATATATATATATATATATATATATATATATATATCGATTCAATATTCGATTTTTCAATCTTCGATAGTATCGCAATGATTATAAATCTGTTTGATAAATAACAAGTTTTTTATAAAAATTATATAAAAATACGGTTTTCAAAATTTCTATTACAAGTTTTATTCGCCAGAAAGTTTAATGTAATTTTTAATGTAAATTAAGAAATAAACTATTCAAATAATTTCATGTTGTGTAAAAAAATAATGATAAAATATATATTTTTATTTCTTTTCTATAAAATTCTAGCAAATTTATAAATTAATATTTGTGATATTTTTGCAATTGAAAAATTGTAGATTCGTGATTCGTGGTATGGAAAAAAAGCATAGAATTCAAAAGTTTTACGAACAAAAAGTTCAAGAGTCAATTTAATTATTTCAGTATCTAAGGAGAATATGTATAGAATGTATGTACTGGGTATCGATTCTGTAATTTTTTCTAAAGTAAAAACGTGAAAAGCAAAAAATTTCCACCAATCATGCATTGATTTTAAAATGAAATCGATGTGCGATTGGCGGAAATTTTTCACTTTTCACATTTTTACTTTAGAAAAAGTTACAGAATCGATACCCTTATGACGAAAAGGTCATTGATTGCTATCGATTGTTTGTCGCTTTGTGACTTGTGACGCTCGTGAAGCTAACTGCTTCATATATGATATCAACAAGTTGCTTCATAATTGCTTCATCGACGTTGAAAATATAATATAAGGTTATCATGAGGTCGAAAGAGGTAGTGCCTTTAAATATAACATCTGAAACTTATATATATATATGTATATATCTATAAATTAATATATCAATATTATAAATTTCATTAATATATATCTATAAAATTAAAAGTATATACCAATGAGCCATGAAAAAAAAAACCAGTAATTTTTATAAATACTACACACTTATGCACACATACACACACACATACATACACGCACACATACACAATTTTTACACTACATTAATTATGTCATTACAATAATTAGATTTTTTATGCTTGACATTTTCATTTTTTTTAAATATGACGACGATACTTGTTTAAAAAAAAAAGGTTTCATACACATAAACAAGAAAAATTACACAATTCAATAATTTGTTTTAATATAATAATAATAAAATATTATCCAATAATGTTATTAAATATTTTATACATATACAATAGTATCGCATTTGTATGGTGTTTGTGTCTTATCATTAAAATATATTAGTGTTTTATAGTATAGCAAAGATTTTATGTAAGTAGACGAGTCCTTTATATGCAATTTACACAAGAAAAAAAATAACACAAGTTTTTCACATTTAATCTTGGCATGCTAATAAATTTGTATTTTATTCGCAGAAAGAATTTCGTTTAGCTTACTTTCTCTAATTTTTATTTATTCTTTTTAATCTAGTCGTCTCCGATGTCAAAAGAGAAGGAATTGCAAACAAACTGCGAAAACTAAGCAATTAAATTCACATAATTGTTTGTTTGGTAAAATTTATAGAACAAATTTTAAAAGATAAATATAAATTTTTCTAAATGCAATTATGTACATGTAATATAAAATAGATGCCATAATAGCTGCGTCAATATTAGTCATAATTAATTTGGCGCAAAAAATCTATTGTATTCTTCAAATAAAATTAGAGATAAAATTACTCAAGTTTAAATAATTGATGATTAATATATTTTTTACATCTAGAGTTTTTGCACAATTTTTTTTTCTTAAAAATTTTCTTAAAAATTTCGTGGACTTTTGACATAATTGAAAATATATTTTATTAGAAAGAAAAGCTTTATATATTTTACAATGCTTGAATGCAATGGAGTTTTGTCTCTCTACAAAGAATCACAAGACAATATAGTTATAGAAATCGATGACATCGATTTCTGTAACAATATTGTTTTGTGTAAAAAGATAAGTTTTATTATATACTTCAATATAACAAAAATTTATTCAAATAGAATATCCAAAAAATGTTTTTTTTTTTTATATATAAATAGTACTTTATAATTTACTAAACTACTAAATAATTGAAAGTCAATTTTTTCATGTTTAAAACTTTTTCTAATAACTGATCATTAAATCTTCAGATTTTCAGATTAAAAATTTCCTTGAATTTGTACATTTTCGACTTTCAAAATATTTAAATTTTACAATTCTCATATTCTAAAATTTACATGTATTTTTAAATCGTAAAACTTTGTTCTTTAATTATTTTACAAAATTATTTATTTAATAAACGATAAAAGGGGAAAAAGAATAACTTAAAAAATTTTCTTTATAAAAAAAATTTCTAAAATTCGTAAAATGAATAAAAAAATTAGAAAAGATTATATTAGTGATATATATTTGATACATATTTTAAGATATTCTGAATCCACATAAACGTCATGTGTGGATGTGTCTACATATAGCGCAAGTTTATTTAAGTACGTAAACTATTGTCTATTTTATAAAAAAATTGTATGTTTATATTTGTAGATTTTTGGATTCTTATATTCTAGGATTCTCGTATGAATTGTTTAATTCCTAGAATTATTAGAATTATTATAAAAAAATTTTTTTAAGAAAAAATATATTTAAAAATTTATAAAATCGTAATGCTAAAATAATTTCAAGTGCTATGCTCAAATATTTAACAAATTTTGGAAGCCATAAATTGTGCAAAACTGTGATATACAAATTCTCATTATATCTTAATCGTTCTAAGATTTCTTTTAAGATATTCTATGTGAATATCACATTGTAAAAATACATCTTATAATCCACTACTTGTAAGCAGCAGCTTATTAATGCATAATTTTATAAAATTGTAAGAAAATGGCATTCTTTATAAAATTGGCAATCTTTTTTTATCTTTTAATATCTCACAAAAAGACTTTTCTATATTTCTGGTATGAAAAATCAAATATTCACAAGCTATTATAATTTCTATTTTTAAAATTATGGGTGCAATTCTGATTTATGCTGCAACATTGCTATATGTACGAAAAATTCGAAGAAATTAACAATAGTTAATTAACAATATAATCATATTAAAAAGTGTACAGATTTTTCGCACATAACTTTGCTATTAGACTTTGCATATAAATCGGGCTTCTTAAATAATATAATAATAATAATAATAATAATAATAATACTAATACTAATAATAATAATGATAATAATAATAATAATATACAGGACTCTCAATTTGCAAAATAACACAATGATATACAAAAAATTGCGTTTGACAGATTAGTGCAGATTATGTAAATCTATTTACATAAAATCTTTGGCAAAAATCATCGATTCATATTTTGGTGAATACAGGAATGAAACAAAAGTTATCAGCTGTTTTACTTTGATACAAACTTTTAAAAAATTTAATGAAAAAAACGAGTTTTATATACTATAACGTCTTAATTAATCGATTTATTGTTAAAAAGATATACGATTCATAAAACATGATATCTATAATAATCATATTATATTATTAATAATAATAATTATACTACCCATATATATACATACATACATACATACATACATACATACATACATACATACATATACATACATACATACATACATACATACATACATACATACATACATACATACATACATACATACATACATACATACATACATACATACATACATACATACATATATATATATATATATATACACGAGGTAGATCATTTTAATCAATACATGCAGATATCTCAAAAAGTAAGCAAAATTGAAAAATGTTTTATACAAAAGTTGTAGGATTCAGAGGGGGACACTGGATGAAGATCTTGACCCTGACATTGGACAAATTTAGGGGTCATTTTAAGATCAACTTGATTTTCTTAAATAAAATCACCCATTTTTCATATCATATTCTTGTAGCTGATGTCGAGACCTTTATAATTCAAAAAGTACTTAATGGAAAAATGTTTTATTATAATGTTTTGGAAAGGTCTCGACATCAGCTACAAAAATATGATATGAAAAATTGGTGGTTTCATCCAAGAAAATGAAATTTTAAGTTAACCTTAAAATGACCCATTTTGACTCCATTCATCAAGTGAAGACCTTGACCCTTTCTCGTCTGAATCCTACAATTTTTGTATAAAACACATTTTTCTATTTTGCTTACTTTATGAGATATCTGCATGTATTGATTAAAATGGTCTACCCTGTATACACACACACACACACACACACACACACACACACACACACACACACACACACACACACACACACACACACACACACACACACACACATACACACACACACACACACACACACACACACACACACACACACACACACTCTAATCATGTTTAATAATCTGACTTAAGCTGATATATTGTTTGGTACATCAGCAAATAATTTTCTTCCATAGGATTATTCTTGAAGGAGCTTTATATGTGAACACTCTATACATATTTGGCAAGATTCACACTCACATGCACATACACGCACACACATACATACGCGCGCGCGCGAAAAATCACATTGTATATATGCTTTCGGTGTTTTATAAAATAATGAAAAAGATCTAGAAAAAGAGATAATTTGTGAACACAAAATTCTATGTATATATCATATTTTATAACATTATGCAATGAATTCCTATTAATTGAAAGAGATGACAATATATAAATATATGTTATCATCGAAATATATCCTTCTCAAAAATTTTATCAAATAAATAAAACAGCTAATGACTTATTTCTTTCTTCTGTATATATATAGTATTATCCGCAGTAAAGAATTGTCTCACACACGTACATATGTGTCGTCCACTTTTCAGTTTTTTCTTCTGCAAATAATTCTGATCTCTTTCGGTATACGAGAACGTTCCAGCACCGCTCATGAAATGCACCAAATCAAGAAGGATATGATCGATGGAACGTTTTCTCAGGTGTGTTTCAGCCAACGCTATCGTCCATCATTTCAGTTTCCGTTTTAAGCTTAAGATTTTCTGTATTCGAATCTCCAATCGCTTCTCCGCGTGCATCGACGAACTCCTGTTAATATGTACATATACAAAATATATTATAAAACATATAAATATAGGGATATAAAACATCAAGAATATTGACAGATTAATCATTCGCTTTGATCTAATCTACCTTTACAAAATTATTCTAGTGTGATCAGATTCATCTATTGTTTAGCATGTAACAAGTTTTTTCATATGTTTCTGATGCTCAAGATTCCTGAGTTCTTACTGCAGCCATATTGGATTATAAAGTCGGATTGTACGTGTATATATTGTTATGTAAAAATAAATAATTTTTTGTCTCAATTTATATTAGATAGAATAAACTCATAAAATTTACTTCTTTACAGAGATGGAGAATAGTTGGAGTGGAGAATTAATGGCTGCGTAAATCGATTTAATTAACTACATTAAGGTCAACTTTTGCTGGAAATTTAGGATACATAGACTGAATTACATATATTTACTAATAAAAGATAGTTAAAAAGAGTTCTCGTTTCATATTTTATCATCAAACGTGATTAGTAAAAAAATTTATATAATTTCTTGATTTTATTTTGTCATTATTTATAGTATTGATTACAATACGAAGCCGACTTAAATTGCTTTGTAAAATTTCATAGTTTTTAATAAATCAATAGAAAATGTATTATTGCCAAATTGTTTATATAAACAAACTGTATAAACTATACAAAACTCTTTAAAAGTTAAGTAAAAGGATCAAATAACAAAAATTATATAATTATAAATATTATATAATTCGCAAGTTATAGATGTAATAGAATATAACAATTTACTGATAATTAAAATAATATATTGACAATTTAATTATTATCTCTGAGAAAGATGAATATCACTTCCAGCTATTTCTATTATCATTCATTTTGAATATAACTTTGGTGAAATAGAGAAGTTTTTATATTCTACTCGTACTTATTAAATAAAAAGAGAAAATAATTTTTTCAAAATCAATTTCTATACTTTTTACATAAATATAATACTTATAATGTAGATTATAGTTTTCATTGAGAGTAATGAATATAAAAATGCACTTTAATGCAACATATATATTTAATGCATAAAATAAAATATAACAAAGTTAGAAAATCTTTCTTACGTCACGAATGATGTCATCGTCTTGATGCACGTCATCTGTAAAACAACATATTGTACATTATGAAATTATTTTACAATAGCTAATTAAATAAAATTACTACTTTAAATAAGTGTATCTTTTTTTAAACATTTTGCAAATGTAAATCTCAGATCTCTTGTTACGCTAGTGAATAGTGCTTGAGATACTTGTTATAGTATTTTTTAAAGTGATTATATTGTGTTTTGAAATTCATTACAAGTATTGAAAATTTATAATATATATATATATATATATATATGTTGCATTGATTTCCAGTACTGGTGATACATTTCAGAATGCGGCCTATATAAAGTCTGTCCTCTTCAGCTGAACTGGCTGTACTAGTGTAGAGTTTATCTTTTTCCTTTCAATGAAGTAAAAAAGATAAACTCTATACCCAATGCAGCTAGTTCAGCTGAAAAGAACATGCCTATAAATATATCGTGATAATTATAAGAGTTAAAATAAAGTAGAGGACTAACCAGTTGCCGTTTGCGTGTGAGTTGTCGTGGTTATCATTTCTGAAAATTCACGGCGCTGTACGTCAGTATCGAGTGCATGTATACGTTCTCTACTTCTACGTAATTCTTTTCGTAATTTTTCTCGCTCTTCTTCCCTCTCTTTTGTGATTTCCTGTAATTCACTCAAATTTATTATAATATTGGAAAACATAGAACCTGTTTATTTTATAAATATATAGTTAAATCGGCCTAAGAGCCAACGCGCGCAAAAATTAATTCTTTCTTTTTCGCGGATTTTTAAACTTGACAGATTGTCAAGATTTAATTGGGAACTGCGTCTTTTGGTTTGAGACTATCAGTTTCATTCCCCCTTATACCTCTGTAGAAAATCTTAAGCCAATTTAACTATATATTTATGATATTGATATCTCAGAGAGCCGTCAACAACGTTTTTAATATCTGTTTATTTTAGTTGTGTTTTTTTGGCCCATTTCTGTTATCTATATAATAATAGGATATATTAAAAAAACATAATAAATATTAAGCAATTATGAAGCAAATTTATTTTCTCTGATTCAAACATCTTATTTTCTCTTACTTGTTTCTTATAAAATGTCATTAGCATTTTTTAAATATATTCTATATTATGTAGATAACACATTATAAAAAATAAATTTATAGTTTATATATTCTCACAGTTTATATAATTTTTAATTTTAAATTACCTATATAAACAAAATGATAAAGCATTTATAAATGATGTGACTTTATATAATTTATAACTCTAACAGAATGTACACTGTATCATTTTATATTTTATAATATCTTCATTTATCTAAAAGAGCAACAGAATTTCGATTCCAATCATGATGCTTACTATCATTGCACTTCTAGTTTGGTCAGAGACACACATGTAGTATTAGTATTCTAAAGTTAGATAAATGAAGATGATGAGAATGAGAGAGAAGAAAGTAAAGTACTTCTATGTTATATATTTACCAGAAGTTGTGACAGTTGAGAAAGCTGAGATGTGAGATAATGACAAATCGGTTGCATCATTCCTACGATCGATTGCTGAGGATGCGTATGACTTCGATTTAACGAAGGACAACCGGTAGCTTCGCATGCAGCGGGAGGTGATAATGTCGATGATCCGCACGATGCAAATATCGTTTCCGTTTCGCTTACGTTTAATGCAGAATTCAACATTCCCACTAGTTGATCCGCTGTAGGCAAAAGTAAAATGTAACAATGTAACATATATATATGTATATATATATATTATATATATAAATACATATATAAATTTTAATCCTTTTAATGTATTAAGATTTAAAAAAGAGTTTGTTTCTTAATAATACTTTGGCTAATAGCAGCAAGTATAAGTTCAACAGGTTCTTTTTCCACAGTGGATGGGTCGGATGCTATGTCTGCCACATGCTCGAAATCTTCTTTAGGAATATTTAATATATCCGCCATTAATACGTGTTTCTCGAGTAGAGCCTGTTTAATTATTTCGTCCTTACGTCTCAGACATTCTGAAAAATTACAAATGTCTTGTTTCAGTAAAAGTAAATCATAATACCGTTCAAATTCTCTAGAAGATTTTATATTGAAAATTATATATAAATATGTGTGTGTGTGTGTGTGTGTGTGTGTGTGTGTGTGTGTGTGTGTGTAAACTTAAATATATTTTAGTAAAATGATTTAAAATTACACTAAAAAATGCTTGTACCTATTGGTGTAAGAACCGGCTCTGCAATATGCACTGGTGGTACTTCTACATGAACTTCCAGTGGATCTATCAATGAGAGCTGAGTGCACGTGATCATTCGTAATGGCTCCGCTACACCTGTATGTAGTAAAAAAGTGTGAATCACATCTTTAAAAATAAATTAATTTTATTATTTAAAAGTACTCTATAATATTTTGTTAGACTTGTATTATACATATGAACACTGATTGTAATTCATATTTAGAAGCTTCTGATTCTGTCTATATTGCAACTATATTTGAAAGAGCAGCATTTTTTATGACACATTTCGAAATAAATAATCTGTGCGGCGTGGAGAAAAAAAGCGTCACAATTCGCGCATTAAATATAAGTGTATAATAAAATGTGTCAAAGATCACTTATTCAGTTCAGGAATTAATGTCTGCAGTTGTAAATTATGTCCAACTATCCAAGAAAAGTTGGATATTCAGCATACTTTTTACAACAGATATTATTATAATGCAAATTTTTACTCGGAATACATACCTGTCATTGGCGATTCAGTCGATTGCTGTTGCATCCGTTGTTGCGTTTGTTCAGTTGTGGGAGTTTCCGTAGTCGTAGTGGTTTCCTCATCTTGCTCTTGCATCATGTTACCGGCAGCAGCGTTGTGTCCGAGGTCCCTGGATTCTCTATTTTGCGATTGAGCCTTCTCAACGATTACGCTGTCCGGTTCGGAGGACAATCCTCCATCCTCCATCGTATGCGTCGGTTCCTCTGGGAGCATAGTGGGCGGCGTCGGTCTTCTGCCTTGACGATCGCGCGCCTTGTAAGCTTCAACGGCCTCAGAGATGTGCTTGCACCAGAGTTTGCGCTCCGCGGAAGACGGCGCCACTAGATTATACATTTGTGCGCCGTTTTGCGAGGTATTGACCAGATACAGAGAGTCCTTTTCAGCAGCATTGTGGCGTACGAGGACAGTGGATAACTTGACGATTGGACTGAGCACGGAATTGCCTGCCTGATTGGCCGTGTTAATAAACTTTAGTAGATATTTGTCGTCTTGTCGATGTAGGAAGAAAATTGTATCGTCGAGTAGCACTACGTGCAGATCCACTGGCTTTGGTACCGAACGATTCGGCATCGATCGATTCGGTTCGGTGCGCCGCCACTGCAGCGGTCCCTCGTAAATCAGTTTACGCTTCGTGATGTCAAGATTCTTAAATTCTTGCACAGTCGGGTGATCGAACTTGTCGAAAGCCGAGCGATCGATCGTTCGCTGAATCTCAGCGAGTCGCTGATGATCCTCGGCCTCCCTCACCGCCTGATTAACGCGACTCAGGATCTCTTTGCTTCGCTCAAGGCTGCGCAACACGGCTGCCTTTTCTCTTTCGTTACTATCCGGCGTGTATTTGGCGAGATTCTCAAATAGCAACGGGTATTTGGTAAGTCGCAACATGCCGGTGAGTATGTGATCTTTCAACTGAAGCCGACGGCACTGCCGCATCATTTCCACATCGTTTAGGAAAGCGTTCAACTTGGAATCTTTGCGTCGGCGATCGCGCAAAGCGTCCAAAGCGATTTGCTGCTTAGCGCAGTAAGTCGACGCGGCCTTCTCGAACGCCTCACCGGTCTCGCCGTCGAACATCTCTAACAGAAGTTCACCCACGTCGCCTACACACGGGTTCTCCTTTTTCTTTCGTTTCATCGACTGGTTGAAGCGCGAATGGATCATCAACATCTCGTCCAAGTTGGAGAAGAGCAGTTGAATCTGATCCAACGGCAGCACTTGAGATTCCAACAAAGGTTTGTGGAAGACTTGCGAGAGGACATTCAACGCGCGAACGTGAGAGCGTTCGGTGTGAAATAATTCTGAAACAACCAACAAGTTGTCGATTAATAAATATTGTCGCGTGCATACAAGATCGAGGATAGATTAGTCATCGTAATATTCGAATGACAATACTAGGGATTCGGATGGAAATGGACAGTTTGAACAAAAACGTGCACGTTGGAATAATGTAGATCTCTCGGTCTACATATAGATAAATAAGACCTCTTATAATTTTAAAACAAGATACAATTACTCACCGTTGATAACTTCTTGTCTTTTTTTCTCGGAATTGCTAAGTTGCGCGAGTACGTCCTCGCTGACAGCTTGGCTCCAATCCGGCGGATCAGCCTCGACCTCGGCATCACTGTCCAATGAAGTTGAAACCGCCGATGTGGTAGGGTGTACCTGCTCCAGGCTGGTACTGGGACTATCCAGACTCCTATTCGACAGGCTGCTGTTTGACGAGCTGCCGGCCGAATTCCCGGGAAATGTACCGTAAGGCTCGCAATCGCTGGAACCGACTCTATAGTCAATCGTTAGCGATTTATGCATTTCGCTATCGACTAATTAGAACATTTACTATCGTTGGACATGTTATACATATAATATTTCGCACTATCGTATCCATTTTTTAAGCAGGACACATTCGATTTTTGAAAGAAACCCTAAATTTTTCTTTGTTTCTATAATCTATTACTTTTCGAAAAAGTCGATTTAAAAATTTCATATATGTATACCTATGTTAAGATTGTAGAAAATGAAAAAGATTTTGATATTCTTCTCAGCAGCAATGCATTTTATTTTAGCCTTATGTCTCCTTTTCAGCCTAATATCTCTTTTTCTTCTTTTATGAAGTTTGACTTGTTATATTTTATAAATAAATGTTTGCTCCGTCTATTTTACTAATGGGAGATGTTGCTATATAAAATATATCGAATAAATAATTGGTTATCAGGATAAAGGCACTTTTGTAAGATGAAATAAATAATAAAACTGCCACGATATCGCTACGAAAGTAAAAATCCTTTTCTGTTCGCACGATGGGTATTGTAAAAAATACCTTTCGACTCTCGTACATCGCTCATTAAGATAGCACAGATGATCGTGCGTAGCGTCGTCACTCGGCATAAATATTTCGGTAATGCTTTCATCGGTATCCGAATTCTTAAGGGTGGCGGTATCAGCTGACCGATCCGAATGTTGGGTTACCGCCATCGCCACCGGGGGATCGTCCGGGATCTCATTATCGTGAGAACCGGGACGAGGGTGGACGCGTCGCGAACCGTGTTGCCTCATTTCTCTTCTAATCCTCTGACAATGAGGACTTCATCGACACGTCACACGACACGAAGAGAGACACGCACGCTTTGCGTCAACGTATGCAGCGTTAATATTTTCAGATTCTCTTTGGTTTTATTATGTTTAACGTTTACTATACTTTAGCGTAAATTCCATATGTTCATGTTGTATGAAATAGTAGGTCAATTATTTAAAATATTAAGATTAACGAATTGATAGTAAACAGCCAGATTTTAAAGGTCGCTGGTTCAATAGCTGGTTTCGAAGGCTATATAACAATGCAGTGGCATTTCAATCTAAATTGTAAAATGTGTGAGGTAACGCTTCCAATAAAGAGAGACCTTTCAAAGAAATACAGAACGTGAAGGAAATTGTCACGAGCTACATCTTTCTCTTTAATACATTTGATAGAAATTTTGTTTTTTTATTTAAATATTGAAAAAACCTGACAGTGAGAGAATATGCTTAATTCTTGACTTGGCAAGTGCCATATAATCTTTTCAGAGCTTTTAGGTTTAAAAATATATATTATACTATTGTATTAATTAATATTTTAAAATATTCTTTTAGTTTTAATGTGTGATATGTGTGTGCTTCTTCTTTTTTCTTTAAAAATATTTTTTTATTAAAAATATTTTTTATTAAAAATATTTTTTTCTTTTATATATATATCAAAGAAATGATCAAAATCGCGACACTCCATAAAAAATAAGAAAGTTTTGTTTGTAAATGCGCATCCACATTCGCAATCATTCTAGACGAAACTTCTAGACAAGGAGAGGCTAAAAGTGTTTATATAATATAATATACATATACAGGAAGAATCTCTTTTTCTCTCTTTTTCTCATTCACTCAAGTAAACGCACCTTGCACTAACATAAATGGCTAAAATCTGTGGTTCAAAGAATTGTGCTTAGTGAAAGACACTTTGTGCAATCGTATTGATTCGAGAGTATCGATCGCTTCGGAAATAAAAGCCAAGACATATCCGTGCTCTGACATCATTCCATTTACCAGAACCCATATTAGAGGAACCTGATAAAAACGGACCGTTTTTTTCCTGTTCACACAATCTCTTATCGATTCTTTAAAGTAGACATAAAATAAAGAGACTTTTCTAAAAATCATCATTCTGCGAATATAATCGCGGCTCGAAGTTTTAGATTATTTGATCACCTCTGTTAACGTATCATATTTTCTCGTATAAAAATGGTATTTGTCTATATAATTATCTGTTTTCTATATTTAGAGAGAGAAAGAGAGAGGAAGGGGGGGGGGGAGGGAAGAAAGAAGAAAAATGAGAAAAGGACGATTTTAATTTTCCTCATTCAAATCGTGATTTGATTCATATAACTAATTTAAGAACAATTTTTTCCATGTCCACACACACAATACACACAAATTCACGGTTTTTTAAAGATATTAATTTGCATTTTATTAATTTTTACTAAATTTTTTTTATGGTCTTTAATCGCAAGTTAATCTAAATGGGTAAAATGCGCCAAGCATATAAAGAGAATCAAGTACATAATAATAAACCAAAAAATAAAATTGTTTTTATATTCTTACGACACATGACAGTAGCGATAGATAGTTTATTCTTTTTTCATAAAATCCAACAGAAGATATTTTTTATTACAAAGACTTATCTCTAATGTAAATCACTTAATTTTATATATATATATATATATATATATATATATATATACACATATATACATATGTATATTATATAAAATTATTTAAATACGAAAGCGAGTACAATATAGATTTAAAGTCAATTGTATATTTTTAGAAATTTGATTAAAAATATGTTGTGATTTAAAAATTTGATTAAAAATGTCTATATAGTTGAATTATATTGTACGTAAGTGGTGTACGGTTCTTTTCTCTTCGCGTGTATCTTTTTTTAAGTAATCTCGAAATGATGTTCGAAATGCGAAAGCAAACACTGCAACCAGCATCGATAAACTCGTTCGTCATTTATTAATGAAATTACAAGCACGAGTTCTCTGTCCGCTGTATAAATAATTTTTTTATAATTCTCATGGAATATGCGCTCATGAAATATATATCATTGATCGAAATACTTATTAGTTCTCTCTCATCGGTTATCAATTATTTATAAAACGATAATTGTGCATCTTTCGAATTTAAATATATAGTCAATCGTGCGTTCCTTAAATTACTTCTTTAATTAACTTTCAGAGATAAAAACGGAAAGCTCTGCAGTATTAAATTAGTTGCGACGTTCCATTTAAAAATACTCTCGTACTCATCAAATCAGAATCGTAATTATAATTTGGAACAAAATAATAAATTTTACCGAAATGTCTCGATAAAATAAAATGGACAACTTGTGCGTTATAAAAAATAAGAATTAGGAAAAGTATGTCAAAATACTTTAGAAAAAAAGAAAAAAACGCTGTTATTTTTTCGAAACAAGTAAATTAAAAAAAAAAAAAAAAAAAAAAAACAAATATATATATATATATATAAAGCTTTTTAAATATTTTTTTTAAATAGATTCGAATAACATGTATTTATTTGTCCATAAAACAAAATCTGAGATTTTAAATCTCTATTTTTAAAAGTATTTTGCAGCAAAACTCTCGATAATCAAATCGATTCAATCACTGTATCGTCATGAAACTTTTTAGGAATCTGCACGCATAACTTTATTTGAATGATTAATCCACACATTTTCCATAGATTTTCCCGGAATGATCGAAAGTGCACGATTGGATTAAAGAACAAAGATAAGAGGAACAGCGTTGATTCATATATCAACTCAGAAATCGAATCGACCGATGTTTCTGAATTTTTCAAGCACTACTTTTACCATGGAATAATTGATAAAAGATGAAAAGCGGGACGAGAGCAGATCCGAACGAGAGTGCTCTCGTAAGACGAATCGAATTGTGCCAGACGAAAGCGGCGGAAAAGTTAATTTCAAAAGCGTTCCGAAAGCGTGGGTGTTTCGTGCTGTCGAAGCGACGCAATAGCCATCCGCGGAATTGAACGTTTAACGTCACACTGAAGACTGAAGGCCTTCCGTTCCGAACGAAAGCTCTGTATACACACCTTCGTACGACAAGAAATGAGGCACAAACCGAGTCTGCGCTCTTTGCACGTGTTCATTATGGAAAAGTGATGGGGAGGTGAAGACGGCGAGAAGGAGGAACACTGCCAAAAATTCACAGATCTGCGTTTCATATACGACTTTAGCGGCATGCAGAGTCGAGCCTAGTCTAATCAATCCCCGGCCCCGGTCCGACTCCGTATTTTTAACAGCTCGCTCCAATTCGCTTCGATTCGCTCGAATCTGATTTCATTCCATTTCTTTCTTTTCATCTGATATGATAGTGCGAATATATCACATTCTTTATAAACGCGCAATGAGTTATACTTTTCTACCACAATAATTCACTTATTTTTATTTTATTATTTGCATATTGCGAGATGCATTCGTATGACGTATCAGCTCTTTTGAAAATGCGAGCGTAGAGCGAAAGAATAACGAGAGATAATGAGAGATTTCGAATAATTTAAGTTTTTGCACCATAGCTATAAGATTCGCAAGAAAATACTGAACAAGTTCTTTTCTCGCAATATATTAGTTAATTTTTTTTGTACAAGGAAAAAGAAATCATAATTTTTTCTTTTCGACGTCATTTCACTTCAATAAGGTATTCAATAAGATAAAATAGCGCGCTAAGAACTATTGCATTTCTAAGTAAGTCTGTTTATATTCTATATATATAATATTACTAGATACATATAAATATTTATTATAATAAAAATATACTCACTTTGTTTTGGAGAGATTCGGATCGCTGGTCTTCCTCTTTTCTCTCAGTTGCCGCTGTAATTGAAAATATGCAATTTTAGTTAAAGTTTACTCAAGTTATTATACATAACTATGCTAGAGCAATAGTTTCATTGCTGAACAATGTAATAGTACATGAGGTTTGTGAATATTTGCTTGATTTTTTGCGTTACATTTCTATTGAAAGAATATTTCACAGTTTACAATCTTAATTTTGTTTTACTAATTATAATAGACTAATAAAATAAAAGACCATTATCTCGTTCCATAAAAAGGAAATGTCAAATAATTTAAGAGTTTATAATAATATTCGTTTAAAATTGAGAAAAAGTGTAAACATGTGTCTAATTCTCTCCATAAATTATGTAATAAAATAAATAAAATAAATTGTTGAAACAGCTTGCCTATCCGCAAGAGTGTACTATCATGCTAATAGATGATAAATTTCCTTGATTGTGAGATGACAATTTTTATATTTAAAAAATGTAATACGAAAAATTGAGGCACACACATGTTTATATGGTATGTAAACACTCATGTTTATATGGTATGTAAAATTATTAAACTTAAATTGTATGTCCGCGCGCGCGATTTAAGTATAAAATTACACACACACACACACACGCACACGCACACACACGCACACGCACACATACACACACATATATATATATATATATAGTATTTGACTAAAAACGTAAAATACATTTGATCAAAAACGTATTAAATTCAATATTTCGGAATGTTTCTAAAATAATTGAATTAATGGTAATTGTAACATTATATTGAGTATTTATAAATGATGTTTTTAGTTACCTTATGATGTATCCGCTCCTTGTAACTTTCAGACCTGTTGATGTTTGACGTCTTTGGCTTACTGGAAATATTTTGCTGGACCCTAAGTAATTGTAATTAACAAAGCGTAAATTTTTTACTGTCCACGATGCAAACAAATCGGACGCATAGTGTAAGGAATATTAATTATATTCAATTATACTCGCGATACTATTACATAAGCAAAAAATTATCTGAAAAATCAATAATTTTTGAAAACATTAGATGCTAAAAAAACTCAATAAATAAAAAAAGAAATACTAATTAAATGCAGAGAATACAGAAATTTAAAACTAATAATTCAATTATAATTCAACGCTTATGTGGACAGAATAAAAAAAAGATATACACACATACACACAATCTACTACAAAGAATGCCAGAAAAGAATTAATGTAGGTACATTTTTCTAAGCTTCTCAATTTTAAAAAGATAAAATATAATATCTTTAAAAGTAATTTTATGCGTTACAATTCTCAAGCATCTCGTATTTATACACATCGATAGATTTACAAAAGTTAGTTCATAAAATAGAAACAGAAAATAAAACAATACAAAACACATTCGATTTAAGATCTCAGACATTATACACCGCATTGATTCAAGCAACAATTAAACAATGATAAATAATTGAACTTGGAAGAATAAATGAATATATTAATATGTTTCGCGAAGCATTTCTATGTGTGTGTGTATGTGTGCATGTGCAGAATTATCAGTATGAATAGAAAAACAAATAGGTAGATAGACAAATGTCACTAACTAGATACATACATTTCGGAAATATCTTCTCGAGATGAAGGATTATCCATATTATCGATATGATCATTAGTTCCTCCTAAACCAGAAATTCGTGCTCTTTCGCAACTGCTGCGAGCATTTCCGGTTAGACTGCTTGAGCGCTGTTCTCCTAAAGTTACAAATATAAACGCAGAGTTGAAATCAAGATCGTAAACAAAAATGTATAATTCAGATACATGATTTTTAACCAAATGTTATTTCTTAATTTACAATTTATTCACTCTAACTATTCTACATGATTTTGAAAAATTGCTATTAATTCCAACATGTACATGTGTGTGTGTGTGTGTGTGTGTGTGTGTGTGTGTGCGCGTGTGTGTGTGCGCGAGATTATTAATATTATTAATTAACTCATTATTATCGCCTGTATATGCTATTATTCTGAGTATTTCTGAGTATTAAAAATATTTCACGCGTGCAATTACTTTATTTAGCCGAAGTAAAACACAAATATTTTACATATTTCCACTTGCTAAATTCAATTTTATGTAAATTCCTTAATTAATATTATTTTTTTAACATAAGGATTAATTCCCTTCGCTACGTTGCTAAATTTTCCGTATATTAGTGAGTTTATTAATTAAAAGTTCAATTTAAAATGTTATTAAAAATATTATTTATTATATTTTGTTTCTTAACGTTATTTTATCTTGCTCTCCTCTCTATATATCCTTTTATATCATAATTTTTCACATTTTACAGTTATAAAAGTTGTGCTAAATGAAAAATGCAAGCACTATTTATCGCTCGGTAAAATTATTTGTTTAAAATAAAATTTCTACAAATAACGAAAGGGGGGAAAATCGCGCGAACAAATTTGATACAAGATTGATTTGTTTCGAAACTCGTGGTTATTGCGCTGGCGCGATAATATACTGATATTATTAACAATTGACATAATTGTACTAATATTATGTTAACAAGGTCGGTATTATTTAATAGAAAATGCATTCGATTTGACATTTTCTAATATGTAATTACTGATGTGTATTATTATTTCTTACTTATTATAATAATTCTAAGATGATTTATAAGAGAGAATATTTTACAAGAGAATAAGTTTTTTTTACAAAAATAATTATTATGATCAAAAAATACGCAGTAGTTTTTTCGCATCTAAATATGTAGCATAATATCATAATTCCATGACAATAACAATAAAAAAAGCAAGAAAAAGATGAATAAAAAAGAAAAGAGAAAGAGACTTACCATTTTCTCCATCCGTTAATGTACCGGAATCTTCTTCATTTCTTTTGATTTTGTCTACTGCAAAATAGAACAAAATAATAGTTTTTTTTTCAATAAAGCAACAAAGAAGAGATAATGTAAGCCAAAACGCTAATATCCAATGAACAAATATATATATATATACATACATATATACACATACATATATTATAAAACTTCATTATCTAACACTTTCTGTGTAAAATACTTTGAAATCAAAACTTTCAAATTTTATGATCATTCCTAGTCAGTTTTTTTTCTTTTTTCACACAGTAGACGATAGTTTACAGATTAAAAGAGGATAAATATGTAAAATACATAAATGATTTCAACTTATACAAGATGTAAAAATATTTGACTTAGAAAAGTATTATTTTGAAAACATCTTACTTTCATGAAACAATCATGAGCATTAGAAGCTACAGGATGGCTTAAATTTAACATAAATAAAACTAAATTAATATTTATAATATATATTTATGTATTATATCTATAATTGATATTGAGTAATAAACGAAAAATTGAAAAATGATTGACAATGATAGAATTAATAGTCTAGACGTTTCATAAATAATTTTTAAATTATTTTCACACCGATTTTTATTAGCATTCTGGCTCGCTTTGTTTTTACTCACACTACTCATAATTTTTAAATAACAAGTTATAAATTTGTACTGTTTTATCTAAAGTTTAATTTAAAACTGCATGTGACTCTAGTTTTGAAGTTTAACTTTACGTGAGAAGTTCAATATATAAAACAAAATATATTTATTTTTAGCAAAAAACACGCGCGTGCGCGCACAACATGGCAAAACGCCATATTGTTGTAACTCGTAGTAAAAAAATGTAAAAAAAAGCTTTTACACATAAAGCAGTAAAATTTTTTTGATAAATGTTTCTATATTAATAATTTTATTATGCAGTTATATAAATAACAAAAAGCTGAATCCTCAATAAACAATTAATTGTCTTTGTCTAATTAAATCTATTATAAGTTAATTTTAAATATTAAAATATTGAAAACTAATCTTACAATGTAATATATGGTTCTGAGAATGATGATGATGGGATGGAGGTTTCCTCTCTGGTCGAATACGCTCCATTAGTTTACTGATTCTAGGATTGGCTCTTTCTTTCCGCATCAAAGGACCCGGACAATTTTCCTCTACCACACGGACACATTGTCGATGTACGCTGAGGGAACAATCTGTTAATCAATTAATGAACAATATAGGTCCATTACTATTGTATTATACAAATATTATATTGTATTATAAAAAGAAAAAACTTACAAGATATATATCCAGTTATTCGATTAAAAAAAAATGAGGTAAATATCATTGTAATGTAATAATAATGAAAGTACAATATATACATATGTAGATAAAATACTTGATTTGAAAGTTTAGTATCAACTTTATCGAAAAGATAACCAATATTAATTCTCATATGAAATAAAGAAAAATAAAGAAAAGTAAACTTGAGAGAACTATTCTGATATTATATATTAAATGTTTTTAATTATTTTAAAATTTACACAATCTTATCTTTTTATAAATTGCCTTATTAATTTGAAATTCATTCTTTATTAACAAAAAACATCAAGAGATCAATATTTTTAATAATTTTATAAGCGATTGAAGATGAAAGATTTGAAAAAAATTAAAATTTTTAATAATAAACTTTGCTTGAATAACTAACATTTCTCTCACATTCAATTCTCATTCAATCATAAGTTGTTCCAGGTACACTTCATTCTCTATACTCTATAATATAAACTATTATGGACAAAATTAATTTATGTAATAAGTAATGAATAATTCACAATGTAAATAAATTTCAACAACGCGATTACATTCCTTTTTTATTCCAATAACAAGAACTAGAACACAAAGATTGATTGTTTGTAAACAATACGTTTTACAAATAATCAATTAAGAGCTACAAAGCTATTTGTATTTTCCCATGGGTCTTATAAAGATTCTAATTATGTTATCATATGTACATTTTACGTACCACTACACAAATATCCTTGAGGACCAATACCACCAATGATAAGTTGACAATGATTGCAGTAAGTTATTGTGAAGTATTGATGTGCCACGAAATGATGCCCTCTAATTGTCATTTTACGTGTTTTTCCAGTGAGTAGTCGCGCTTTGATGTTGGATTTGTCTTTCGCGACAAAAGTAGGCACTCTGTCGGCCCATACCGGTCGCAATTGAAATATCTTTATTAATATTGTAGCTAGACCAGCTGCCGTTGTGAATAGCCGCAAATCCACGTGTTCCTTTTCTATATCCTCCCTGAAATTTTGTATAATTTGTTCACATTATATTATTGTCCGATACAATAATGTATGTCTCTGATCAACGTTGTCAGTTGTATACAATGTTGTGCTTATAATTAGATTTTAAAATTAGCTAGATAAAAATGACATAAAAAATAAATTCATCTTAGATAAGATGAAAATGATTTTGTTTTAAATATATCTAGATAAAAGATAAAATTATATGACGATTCATCTAGATAACTTCCAGATATTTTTACATAACATCACTTATGTAAACAGTTATAAAAAAAAATATAAATTATAAAAAATTATAAATTATAAAATTATAAAAAAATATAAATTATAAAAATATATTTATATTTTTATAAGTTTTTATCGCTTATTGCTTAAATTCTATTACTTATGTATTTTTATGATATGACTAAACTAAACTATCTGAATATTATTTTAGATAATTTAGCAAAGATAACACTTTTTGTCATCTAAAATCCAGATATAGATAATACATATTTTTATTATCTATATAAAGATAAGATTACGCCAAAATTTCATCTAGATGATCATCTATATAATTTCATTTAAACAACAAATACTGGTTGTATATCTCTTAAATATACAATTAGTATATGTTATTAACTTGAGCTCATTGAGCAATTATAAAGAGTAAATCTAAAAAGTGAAACATTCTTAAATATAATTCTTTTTAATTAGAAGATAAAAGAGATTAAAGAAAACAATCTTACAAATAAGGTTCCATCTTTGGCAGCAGGTATGTCTCAATAATTTTTGTTTCACGCGTTTTGTCGGATATGCTCTCATCGAGCGAAATATCGGTCGGGCCAAAAATCGTAGCCAAACCTGCGGTTCTTTTTTGCTGGAAATGTGTCAGTTGTTCGTTCAATTCTTCCTTTGCTCTATTTCGTGCTTTCCAAAATATCTGCATACAAAATATTAAGATTTTATCAAAAGGTCTATTGCATTTGTTAAATTCAAGAGAAAAAAAAACTATCAAAAGAAGTTTTACTTTACTGTGAAGTTTAATACATTACTGTATAAAATAAAGAGTCGCGGGGAAAGTTTAATTATTTAATTTTTTCATAAATATTTATAAACTCTCAATAAATTATAAAATTGAAATTTTTGCGGATATCTCATGTATATAACATACATAAAAAAAGGTTTACTCAATACCTGTGACATACCTTTCTAAGAATTTCTTCTTTATCAGATTCCTTTAAGAGAACGTCGTCTATTTCATTCGCAACATTTTCATCTACATTGTGCAGACGTAATGGCTGAACCAAAAGAGAGAGTACTATTTATCATATCAATCAACATAAGGACAAATATAAAAATAACACGAATTTAAATTTTGTTAAATCAGATAAAGTACACATTTAGGTTGTAAAGTTGTTTTATACAAGAGGTAATTAAAAGATAATACAACAAAATTATAATTATATATTGCAAAAAAGGCTATTAAAGAATGTGAAGTAAATGTGTGCATAAGAAAAAAAATTACAAAATAATACTTCTGAGATTCTTTTTTATATTATCAATTGAGTGAAAGACTTACCGCACCAGGTACTAAAAAACTAGAATGAATCTCGTATGCCCATTTTCTCATTTCTTTGGCATTTCCCTCCTTGTATAAATCCGTTATTAAATAGAATAACTGCAAAAATATACCAATATATTTTATAATTTACATTTTTATATACAATTGTGTTTTATATTTTTGAATATAATAAATGTTCAACGACAATTATACATACCAGGCTAGAAGGATCGCTATTAGATAAAACGTAATTAATAAATACAGCAAGATGCGCATGATGTCCCCATAGCCTGGATAAAGATTGGAACGGTCCGTGATCTTCTAATTGACCCTGAAAATATTAGAAAATCAACATCTAAAGATCTTGAAAGTATTTCAGACACGCAAATTTGTAGATAACTTACAATTTCTTGATCACTGACATCATCCTCTTCCATTGACATAATAGGCTGTTGGAACGCTGGCAATCCAGGAATGATATCAGTTGCAAGTGTCTATTACAAAAAAGTTGTTATTATAAAAAAATACATCAAAAACAGCGGTGAATATTTACAATATATTATAATTAAAAAATTATTTTACATGATTATATATACAAGGTGTTAAAAAGCTAAGTACTATAAATTTGTGTTATGAAAGAAAAGAGCAATATGAGCATTTCAAATATAGGAACAATGGGCTAACAAGGTTGTTACGAATGTTTAATTGAATGGTTACAACGTCCTTATATATATATATATATATATATATATATATATATATATATATATATAATTATTATAAACTCATAGACATGTAATAATATAACTTTGAAAAACGCCACCCAGAAGCAATTTTAAATCACGATATTATGTCCCTCTCGAGAAATGCTATAATTATTATATGAAACATTTTTCCCAAAAACATTTTATTTTTAAAATAATTGATGGCGTCACTTAAAATAAAACATGTCTATTATATTAATGATACAATCAATCGAGTCATAGAATCGAGCCATAAAAAATTAATTAAAAATAAGAAATTGAAATAGAATAACGAATTGATTTTGAAAGTAAAATCAAAAACTATCTTTTTATTTAAATTAAATTTCCAAGTTTATCATATAAATAATATAAATATTTAAGATTTCCGACTATATTGGATACATAAAGGTGCAAAAATTAATTAAATTTTAACAATGCAAGAAACAAAATTTACAATTTTTATAATTTCCATTTAATACATTGTAATCCAATATAATTGCAATAAGAAATTAGAAGCAATACGAAAATCAAGTAAAATATAATGTAAGGAAATATAAATTGAATCAAATATTTACATCATTTGGTGTAGATGAAAAGATATCTTGTCCTAAAATGGGGGCTGGATATGGCGGCGGTGGTGTCCCCGGTGGTGTAATATGCGGTAATTCATTGATATCAATATCATTGTGTCTGAGGTGTCTTGGAGGTGACAAATCATTCATTGATTCAGATGCAATCAGGCGTCTACTAGCTTCTGATGGAGATATGGCTGTAGTTCCTAATTGTTCTGGACTCGATTTTGTTCGCTGGTGTTTAGTGAGCGCGTTTGAAGCACTCAAATTGGCATCTTGGGAAAACTAAAAAATAATGCATTATGAATAATTATTAATATATGTAATGTATGTGTAAGTTTTTAACTACTTATTCCAGAAACAGTCATTATAGAGAAACAGTGTTGTATGAAAATTATATTTTGTGTTATAATGATTATATTTTGTTATAGTTTGTATGTAAAGTATACTTATATAATTACATTTTATTATATGTACATGTATACCTATTTTGTGTGTGTATACCACATACACACACACACACACGCACGCATGCACGCACGTATGTATCAAGTACATATATTTTTCTACAGAATATTTGTTAAACTCTCTAATATAAATGTTTTGTTTTCTAATTAATATATATATATATATATATATATATATATATATATATATATATTGTTTAGAGTTTATTTACTGTTTCAAAGTGCAAAATCAAATTGTAGAAAATGGAAAAATTAGATTTGATGTATTATAAACAACTATAGTACTACTTGTGTCTAAGTTAATCTTAAATCTTAACATCTAACTGAGGGAGAGCGAATAGTCATTTTAAAATTTTCTCACTCTTAGATTCCCTGATTTTCTTGTAATTTTACTGTTATATATACACATTTATCAGCGCGAGCACAAAACAAATATAAAACAATGGATATTAATGTAATGGTATCGGATGATTAGGCTACTTACAGAGTTAGGAATACTGTGACTGACTGTTGAGGACGTTAAATGAGTCAACAGATGTCGGTCCAGTTCCGGCTGGGCTGTATTTTGCATATTTGTGACGGGTGGAGGTCTAGGAGGCAAAGGCGGTGGAGAGAGACTTTGCATGGATAAGGATTTACGCGAGGGCAGTGGGGGTGGCACGTCTGCGCCACTGCCGTTATTTGAGAGTGGATAATAGCCCGAGGAGCACGAAGTGTTTGTTACCAATGAGCAAAGCTGTAAGACACAACAAAAGATTGCTGTTACCGAAAAGGCAAAGCTGTAAGACACAATAATTGGTTAGCAAAAGTGGGCGAAAGCTTCGGTGCATTCACTCTAATGTTTTAGATCATAGATCGATATACAGATTGATCTGTTGTCGCCAGATCAGTCGCTAGTGCAACTGGAAAAAAGACAATTGTAAAAAAGTGTAAAGTAAATTTTTTTTATAACGTTTTGTTTCTAAAACAATGCTTATCTTGCAATATACACATATATGTCTAATGCATGTCAATAGTACTTATCAAAATTATAAAAATATTAAAAATTTTATATATATATGTATACATATACATATATATATATATATATATATATATATATATATATATGTACATAAATAATAATAATAGAGAATTAAAATTATCAAATTGAAAACTATTAATGTTATTTTTGCTTTGTTATTATATTTTATTCATATTCTGAGAATAGAGCTATTCCATTCGTTAAAGCAAATTCATTAATCTATTCTCACATTAGCAAACGTGATGTGACATAAACAGAGAAAAGATATTTTATTTTTCAAAATTTTTGAAGTTTTATATAAAAAAAAAATTCATTAAAAAAAATACTTTTTTTCAGAATTACTTCATTTCCTAGTGGTTGTATTCTATAATAGATCACTCTGTATAAACCCATTTGCCACTAATAAGAATAAATGTCAGATTTATCAGGCATTTTTTAGAATCTTATATAATAATACAGGAACGAATGAAAAAACATTAGCTTGGGATTGAGCTAAAAATGCAATTCTCAGTAAAAAGATCTTATAAAAAAAAGCTTAGTTGAAACATTATTGTTCCTAACGATATAAATACAAATTTTTATCATATTATATGAAAAAAACATTGCACTCAAAAAGAAAGTTTGAGACTTGTTAGCAATAATATTTTATGAAAGTATGCTTTTTTTAGACACATATTACCATATGTATCACAAGATGTATCATATTTCTTCAATTCTGTTATTTCTTGTATAATCTGTTTAAAATATCTATCTTCAATATAATAATAATCGAAATACATCTAAATTTTTTTACAATAACAGATGCAACATATTATATCGTATATTAGTAAATCTTGTAGCAACAAGCACATGTTTGTAGATATATATTTTTACTGGAATTTTTAATATAAAATTAATTTTTTAATAATACAAGCTAATGCCGTTTCATTTAATTACTATCTGTATTTTCAAATTCTCAGATGCATTAGATACCCAGATAACCAAATCTGTCGAGAATATATTTTACAAAGTGTATGCTACAAATTTTGTTGGCAGGAAGGTTATTATTGTAGGATTTGGAGTATATGCAATGCTGGCAGAATACTGGCAGAAATGTTTCAAAGTGAAACAAAGTTTGTCGACAATATACAACGGCACAAATCTAGAAGATTCTGGTATACTTGAGACATAAGTTTGACAAATTAGCGACAACTTCTGCCGATAGAACATAAGCAATTTAATACCGCTAACAATTATTGATATACCGCCAACATTTTGCTTGCTAAATAGGTTAATGCTCTTCTCCAATAAAGGTGCACGTAAATAGTCTAATGTTGAAGAAATTTAACATACAAGGGAAAGTATATTACGAGAAACGCGGAATAAATATGCAGACCTGTTCGTTAGTCGTGCTAATCGCTGCGAGCTGTTCCTGCAAGGTGCGTACTCTTCTCTCAGCACCTGCTAGCTCTGTCTGCACAGTCGCAACGTTGATGTTTCCACTGCCAGTGCCAGCCTTTGCTAACTCACTCCGTAACTTATCTACATAACTTTGTTCTTTCTCCAACATAAGCTGGAATGTGTGAACTCTTTGTGTTTCCAATTGTCGCTTCTTCTCAAGCTGTAAAAGATAAGGATAATATTTAAAACAATAGCAATATATAGACATGTAGAAAACTGTATTGTTACTATATTTACAGTTTTCTTTGAATTTTGAAATAATTTAAGATAATTACTGATATTAATTTATACATCTCATGATTTTATTTTTTTGTTACAGAGGCTCTAAAATGTGTTGTGCAACATGTGTAATAACGTCTTTGCATCTTTCTTGTCATTTAGATTATCATTTAGATGTGTTTTGTTTTATATTTTCCAGCCACATTGTCAAATATACTTTATTGTTTAGTAAAAAAGTCAAAATGTGAGAGTCTCTCATTCATAGTTGAAGAAACTGAAAGCACGCTCCTTGTACTTACATCGACTGGTTGTGGAGCTGTGATTCGAGCATTACATGAAGCACCGCCCGCCGGTGCGGTGGCTGCTCTGTGAAGAGAGATGGTCGTTTGCGAGGGTGACATATTTCCGGCCGCCGACAAACTGACTGGACGTTGATGCTGCTGTTGACTCACGGTACTGGCTACTCCGACTTGCAAACCGGAAGCTATCGTTGCTGTTGCTGTCGCTGTCCCCGTCACTGCCACTGCGTTGTTCGCTGGCACTGGCTTCTGTTGCACCGTTAGTACCACTTGTGTCGATGCTGCAACAAAGTTCAAACCTCTCAGGCATGGTGTATCGTCATATAAAATGTCATGTAAAAATAAATAAAAAAATTTAATATTTTTTACAAACCATCTTAATCTCACCACATTCATCCCTTCGCTTTTCACATTCTTTTTTTCTTTCTTTAAATAATTTCTTTTACCTTTTTATCATTTACTTTAATATCACACATGCGCATACACATAACTCTGTTCATATAACAACTTATCTTATTTGTAATAGTTTTATACGAAGCAAATAATGCTATTAAATGCGATTATTTTTTGTGTAAATGTGGATCTAAAAAATATGAGATCTGTGCAAATGCTAATCGATACTCTAGATAGATTTAAAAAATAAAATTCCGAGAAAATTTATAAAAATTTATTTAACAAATATAGAGTTGTTATGATTATATTAGATTTAACTGTTTATTTATTACTCTTTCTTTTTCTCTTACATTTTATTTGAATGTTCCAATAAATGTATAATTAAAATTAAAAAATATAGAAATTATTAAAATTTGACCTTATATTGTTAAATTATTCCCTATACTATACTAGTATCCGTTTAAAAATAAAAAATTAAAAAATTTTTAAATTTAATTTAATGTGTTATAAGTAATAAATATTAAAATTTAAACGGGCAATATAAAGTCACTAATATTAAAAAAATTCACACGATATACACATAGTATGCATCAGAAAATAAACTTGAGTCAGACACACACACACACATACAAACAAAAATACGCACGCGCACACACAACATACAATGTATGTATACATACTTATATAAAAGTATTTCCATTGTAACGTTTACAACAATTAGCAGATATACATCTTGAATGTCAATTGTCAACAATTGGAAAAAGAATTAAGCGAATAATATTAATATCGTGCGCGATATTACGATTTCTGAGTATGCTTGTAGAAGAAACATAAACAGTAATGTTAAAAGCTTGTGTATGCGTCACATCTGTATGCAATAGAGATGAAATAGACGACTGAAACGATCACTGCTATAAACTTGCATGCTTACATCACTGCAAATTATTCTTATGCTTGAATTTCATGTATATTTGTGTATGAAATTGTGTACAACCATAATTTCAATAATTCTTTTTATAAGAAAATTTTGATAAAACAGAAGATACTTATATTTATGACAGAATCCTTGTCCACAAATTATTCATAAATTATTATTTAAAAAAAAAGAAGGAAAAAAATCACAAAATAATACCATTTACAAATTTATACATTGAAATATTTCATAATAATATATACAAAATTTTCTAATATAGTAAATATAAAACTATATATAAGAATATAGAATTATTAGAATTATAAAATACACACAAACATTTTCTTCTAAAATACAGTTCATTCTAAATACATCCTCACACTTTATAATACCATTAACATATATCTTAATAAATAATAGAAAGTAAAAAATGAAAGACAAATAATACCATACCTTGCAGCATCAATTCCTCAATCTAATAAATAAGTAAAAATTAAGAATAAACAAAGGATACTTACATTTTATGAGGTGAACCACATCTGTGTGTGTAGACTGCATCACGTTGACTCCATTCACCTTTAATAAAAATAAAGAAAAAAAAACTACTTATCACATCATATGTAACAATTTATTTAAACAATAAGGTTATATATTCTTTTAATTCAAAAATTTCTCAAAGAAATACATTTCAAGCAATTTAATATTAATAAAATTATATGAAATAATTCGTAATCAAATATATTCTTTATGTATATTCTATCATCTTTTCTTTTCACGCTGTTCTAGCAATATAAGACTATTTCACATTTACACATTGATCTTATAATCTTAGAATAACAATTGTTGTCATGTGTATAATCAATGTAAATTCATTATGACATTTTTGGAAAATAATAACAATAATGGTCATTTTTCAATAGTTTGTGTATAGTATCCTAAAAACCAATCGCACAAAATATTGAAATATTGCTCAAAGTATATTATATTCTATTTGAAAAATTGAAACACTTAATGATTCTAAGAATCGTTTAATGTATCTGTAGATTACTATATAAGTTAAAAATTGACAAAATATTACTAAAATTTGCTTATGATGACATGGATCATCTATATCTTTATATCTGCGTCTAGTGTGCGTGTGTGTGTGTGCGCGCGCGCGCGCGCACATGCATACATGCATTTACAAGTCAAAGTTTCAAGAAACAACTACCTATGTATTATAACAAAAGGTTTTTAGTAAAATCCTGAAAATTTAGTGAATAATATAGATTTATTATACATTGACACTTTAAATTATTTGAAACTTTAATCGCTATATATATATATATATATGTATATATCTTTTATTACTTAATAATTTAAAAACTCAATGTTTGTATTTCTATCAAGGTAACAAAATCTAAGAATAAATTAACCAAAGAATCTTACCATATAAAATTTGGATATAAATTTGGAAGGATTTACAATACATACATATCTACAAATATGCTATTGATTGTAATGATATAATGCAAGAAACGATACAAGCACAAGAAGAAAACCTACATGCAATTATTACACCGAGTGTTTCAATGTATATAAATAAAATGTTTTCAGAAGTAAATGTAAAATTGTACACAGCTAAAAGATAATTAAAATAAGTAACACATATAAAAGAAAAAGTAATAAAGAGATCTTTGTGCTATCCCTTTCTATAAAATGTTAATAATTAATTTTTATTTACCTTTATTATCTTATCACCCGCATGAAGACCGGCTCTTGCTGCTGCGCCACCTGCAAAAATCATATTGTATAATTGTAACAATATTCAAGTGTATGTGTTAATAATGCAAATATTAATGTAAATGAATGGAGGAATTTGAGTGCGAACCTTCCTTTACAGACTGAACGTAGACTGGATTGTCGCCAGAAACTTTCATTCCAAATCCAGCATCGTCCTTGTATATGACAAGAGTGGCGATAGGTGCTGGTTCAACGGCTCCACTACCGATGGCGCCTGCCTGACCAGCCCCGACGCTGCGCCGCAACGCTGCCGTTCCATTCATCCCTTCTTCAAGCTCCACCCCCGCCTCGCCTCTGTTGCTTTGCTACCGACCTGTCATTTACAATTGACTTTATATCAATTCAATTTTTATTTTCAGACTTTATATCTTATTATTTCAAAGAATACTTAACTAAAAAAAAATTGATTATTTATGCGAGATATTTTGATGAAATCAAACAAAACTCAGTTTTCATTATTTGCTATGTGAAAAAGAGATTCGGTTAATCAGTGATTAATTAACTAGTGTATACAATTGTCTTCAATTAATACATTTTCTAATTATATATAATTTCTAATTTTATTTCTACAATATTTCCACATGCATTAAACAAAATCATTTTATTTACATTATCTAAATATTATTATATTTATATTAACAGTAATTACATATTTATATTAACAAAATACAGATTGCTAGATAAAGTGAAAATTTGTTAATTAAACTGACTCTATAAATAATAGTTAATTTCTAATAGTAAATTGATTAATTTGATTAAGAAAAATTATTAAATAAAAATACATGTGTCAAATTTTAAAAGTACATGATAAAATATACTCTTCTATTGTTATAGTCTATATACATATAATATATATTTCATACAAATAATTATTAATTGATTTCATTTATTCAAAATGATATTAATATTGAATATGAGATAGCAAAAGATCACAATAAAACGTAATAAATTAATAGATAATAAAATAAATTATATTTAAAAAGTCAAGATTAAAGATTTGAAATCAAAATAGTATTGAAATAAAAGATGGAAATATTTTTTTAAAAGTCTGGCTGTCACAGCCAGTACAAAACCATAGGTACAAGTATTGTATCACATAATAATTAAAATGTACTTCTTATTCTGTCCTAATTTATTTCTCTCCTCATCCCTTTATCAGTAAAACTTCAATTTTTCTAGTCATGTCATTCGATTAAAGATCGACAATTAAAAACTAACTGATAATTAATTGCCAATCTAAAAAATATTTGAACAAAAATCATAATTAATTTCACTACAAAGAACATAATACTGTGTATATTATAATACTATATGTATATATGTATATCTATATTATATAGCAATACTTAATTTGTGAACCTGTACTAGTCTACATCTCTTTTTTTGCTCTCTCTCTCTCTCTCTCTTCTTTTCTTATCTTTTTTTTCCAAAATAGATATATTTTTACAATATAATCTATATAACTCAAATTTGATACCCTATAGATGTTTCGTTGTATAATCTTAATAATTTTTAGTTGGATTTCTAACTTCTTTGATCTTTGTATATATATATATATATATATATACACACACGTCAAAACATTTATAGGTGGTCAATTACTTAGAAATATATGTATGTATATTATAAATTTAAGAATAAAATATTTAATGTATTCAATGTATTGCTTTGTCTATATCAAACTTTCAATAGGATTAAATCGAGGGGTTGGTTACTAGTGATTAGTGTACAAAAAATTACCCTTGATATGGATTATCTTTAAATTACCTCAGATTACCTAATACTACCATAGATTACCTAATACTATCTCAGATTACTAAATATTACCTCAAATTACCCAAGATTACCTTAGAGTCGGATGATCATTAGTGGTTATACTAGTTTACAAAAAATTACCCTTGATATGGATTATCTCAGATTACCTAACACTACCATAGATTACCTAATTCTACTGTAGATTATCTAATACTACCATAGATTACCTAATACTATCTCAGATTACTTAAGATTACCAAATATTACCTCAAATTATCCAATATTATCTTAGAACGTTTAAAATTACCTCAAATTTTCTAAGATTACTCCAGATTTTTCCAAATATCTTCGAAAACATCGATTTATCAATAATGTTCACTAACTTCAAAAATTAAAGATTACCTCAGATTAATACAGACTATTTTAAGAATACCTAGAATTACCTACAGATTATTTGATATTACCCTTGGATTACTTAGATTTCCTATTAGATTACCCAAGATAACCTAAGATTACTATAAATTATTTAGAGTTACCAAAAATTACCTTGGATTACCCAAAGTTTCCTTTGGATTACCGCTGAATTACCTAGTCCTTGTACGAAAAATTACTTCAGTGACCAACCCCTCGGATTAAATTTTATTTCAATTTGAATCTTTTTGTTTTGTTTTCTCAAAAATCATTTTATATTAAGTCTATAAATTTTGTATAAATGTTAATAAATTATTGATTATATAGATGTATATACATAATTGTTTCGGAGTAGTTTTGTGTGCAGGTATGTATTTGTAGGACAATTAACAAGATGCTTACTCAAATATCAGGCAAATGATGCATTTTGTTTGTATCTGTATTAATATGTATATATATATATACATATTAAAATTACATATGACTCACTGATTGTAAAAACTTATATTTTACAAATATAAACATTTGAGTATCAAAAATCAACACCAAAATATATATTTTTGCTTGTATAATAATATAATTATTTTGCACATAATATATTACGCGTAATATAATTTTCCAGTTCTAATAATGAGAATGTATATACAGTATATAAATAACCTACATATACAAAATGATGAGTACGATGTATATATATTTTATATATAAATATTCTTGTAGCAGAGATTATCTGATATATTTGAAATTACAAACAAATGTCACATTCAAATGTGTCATTTACGATTCGTATATCTAAATATCCAAGAAAACTATAATGTTAAATATTTAGAAATATCTCATTCTTATATTAAATATATTTAAGAAAAAGACAATAAAAACGATTTAAAGCTCTTGAAATTGAAACATTTCGCAAATAGGTCCTTCAAAATGATACAATTTAAAAATCAGTAATGAGGGATAAGCAAGGTCAACAAGATATATAAGATGCTCAGTCAACTGTTGAAAAAAACATGTAAATGATAAAAATTGATTACAAATAAGTAAAAATGTACAATGTAGTACAATTACCTTTCATTTAATCTATACTTGATGGCAGCAAGTAAACGTTAATAAGAAGTTCAACAGGACGAGATGAGACGAGATGAGATGAGATGAGATGAGATGAGATGAGATGAGATGAGATGAGATGAGATGAGATGAGATGAGACGAGATGAGATGAGACGAGATGAGATGAGACGAGATGAGATGAGACGAGATGAGATGAGACGAGATGAGATGAGACGAGATGAGATGAGATGAGACGAGATGAGATGAGACGAGATGAGATGAGATGAGATGAGACGAGATGAGATGAGACGAGATGAGATGAGATGAGATGAGATGAGATGAGATGAGAGATGAGATGAGATGAGATGAGATGGGATGGGATGGGATGGGATGGGATGATGATGGGATGAGATGGGATGGGATGAGATGAGATGAGATGAGATGAGATGAGACGAGACAAAATGAAACGAGAGGAGAGGCGAGGCTAGACAGAGCGAAGGCGAGGTGAGGTGAGGTGAGGTGAGACGAGTGAGCTAAGGTGAGATGAGGCGAGTGAGGTAAGGTGAGACGAGGCGAAGGAGAGGGCGAGCGAGGATGATGATGGTGAGGGCGAGGGCGAGGGCGATGGCGAGACTGAGGGCGAAATGAAACGAGACGAGACGAGACGAGGCAAGATGGAACGAGGCGAGGCGAGGCGAGGTGAAGCGAGACGAGACGAGGCGAGGCGAGACGAGACGAAGCGAGATGGAACAAGACGACGCGACACTACACGAGACGAGACAAAACGTAATGAAACGAAAGAATTGTTTATGAAAACCGAGCTGCATCGATGTACACACAAGACTGCTTCAATCGAGTTATGCTCGGGCGTAAATATTGTATCACGTTGTCACAACAAGACACTCGATGAACATGGCTGGTGACGGGCAACTGTTCCGCCTTTCACGCACAGCATCCCAACCGTAGGACATACGAAGCGCAAAATATTCCAAGGCGATTTTTAATTTCCGAGCACGAATCGCGAAAACACGCGGCACACGGCACCGCTATGTGAACATACGCAGAACGACTTTTTTTGCAAGATACACATCAAATTTAAAGAATACGCTACTAACAAGTGACAGCCATCTTAGTATAAGCGATGCATAGATGTCACTATATACATAGTATACAGCTGTTATGGTAAATTCACAGACTGCATTTAACGTTTCACAGTATCCCGTAGGAAATGTGTAAATTATAATTGACATTTTGTCTTTAGAAAACAAACTCATCTTTTGTTGGATATCAAACGTCATACATAAATTTCAGTATAAAGACAGATAGTTAAGCCCCTTGCACAATACCAGACAACAGGCAATAAGAATAATAAATAGAAAATATAAGGCCGGATCTACAATAGGTGTGATAAGTTCTAAGCTTGAAATTCACCAATCACAGTCGATTATTTCCTTCATTCTTGACTGTAAAGGCCGTTCTACAATGGAGTATCGTAGGTGGTAGTCGTAAGAAATTGACCTATCACAATTGATTATTTTTGAAATAATCGACTGTGGTTTGTCAATTTCTTACGACTACGGCCTACGACACTCCATTGTAGAAGACCCTTAAGGCCTTCAAATATTATTATTATTTCAAAAATAATCGATTGTGATAGGTCAATTTCTTACGACTACCACCTACGATACTCCATTGTAGAACGGCCTTTAATTGATGAATTTTTTCAAGATTTAGAACTTACTACATCTATTGTAGGAAAGCACCAATTCTTTAGCGGGGAGCAGCCACTTTTGCATAAGCACATAAGCATATATGCATAAGAAATTCTATTGGTTGAATTTTTTATGCATACGTTTATAGACCAATCAAGATTCTTATGCGCTTATGCAAAAGTGTGTGCTTCCCGCTTAAGGCTGAGTTTCCACTGAGCGCTTAAGGTGTCTTCACTTCCAGGGGAGTGCGGAGGGGGGAATTGAACTCACTTTAACTTTTTCCTACTTATAAGAATGACAATTTTAATTTACAAATTAATATACAGTTTTTTTACGCATATACTTGCCTTACACCAAAATATTCTACATATACTTAATTGTTATACATATATATATAATATAGATATAAAATTCTTTGACATGTAATCAAGAGCTAATATAAAAAGAGGAAACAAAAATTTTGTCATTGATTGTAATATAATTAAATTGAAAAAATAGTTATACACATGCACATACATATATATGTATGTATATATATATATATTAAGTATTTACATATAATGTTACATACATAATTAAAAGGACAAATACATTCAATATTTCTATTTTGTTCGAGCCATTCAAAAAAGGATAAAAAAAATCATACGGTAGCGTGATGTCCAAATTAGGTCCACCAACAAAATGATATTTAGATGGCTTTGAAACGTCGTAAAAATTGACATGGGTAATAATGTCAATATGAAGAATGTCTGTGCAATCTTTTGGTTCGCATTTTGGCCAACTAATATCTTCTTCCTTGCCGAACGTAATGCCAATTCCTAATATTTTATAATTTATTAAAGTTTTCGGTTCCGGCATTTTCGAATAAAGAACATCTAAGTGCATAGATGTAAATAATCCTGAACATAGGATTCGTTTCCCGATTGCATGAGCAGTGATGATGCTTTGCGGTATCCTGTCGAACCCAATTCGCAACCAATCGGTTGTATCTTTTTTGGAGACATTACCCAATTTGGAAACATAAGCGTTGTAATGTTGACTCGCATTTAGCAAAGAGTCCTTCATCAAGAAATGCATAGTTAAATTTTGTAGTTCTGTGCAAGATAATGTGGTAAATTTTTTTATTAATAATTTAGCAGAGCATCTTAATTTAACATCTTCACCGAATGCAATAATATGTCTGTTGATTTGGTCGCACTCTCCATTTTTTCCAGCTAAGGGTAATGTGAGAAATCCGTCAGTTCTGTTGAAAAAAATCTCGTTGCTTTTATTAGTATGAGAAATGCCAAAAATGATTGGCTTGCCCATTATGTAACCAGGATTTCCACTACGAGCAAAAACTTTTGTTTTATTTGCATCTATCCAATTGTATTGAACCTCAAAATATTGATAAAAGGCATGAGAAGTATTGCCTATATCAAAATATGCATCAATGTTTCTGATACCAGCGGAACCGTTGTGAGCGATTATATATTTTAAACCCTTTACAATATTCATACAGGTGGAGTTTATGCAAAAACTTGATCCTATCTTGGTTTTATCACATACGGAAAACGAATTTAGACAATAATGAGTCCTCACTGACAAACAAATATTATTTTGGCATCGCTAAAAACATAATTTACGAACTTAATTCTAATAAATGTATCGATATAGAATAAGAATAGTGTAAGAAAATCAAATTAGAGAAAAATAAGGAAGAAAAATATCGACTGCATGCGAAGCCTTATTATCATTTTATCAAAAATTCTTTTGAAATTATTCTTTTGTTATTGTAAAACTATACCTGTTTATGAATAAATGTGTCGTTGAATGATGGTAGGGAATTTATAACTGTAAAGTTATTGAACGTCGTGGTAAACAAATAACGATTCATATTTGTCAAATCATTTTGTATGCATGCACTTTTCCAATTTTCCAAATATCTTAAAGTCTTTTTAAACGAACATATTTCAGTAAATCCAGGTTGTAAAAGCTCTGAAATAATACATATGCCATTAATAAATGTTATGTAATTTTTGTTTACTTGTTTTATTTAATTATACATGATTTAATAATTAAAAGATAGAAAATAACGACATAATCATATTTTTTAGTTAATTTTGAATGTTTTATTTGAATTTAAAATTTATTAGCTAAAGAAATATACATAAAGATATTCATTATTAATTGTAGTTATTTTAAGATTGATTGTTGTATTCTTATCGAGATTCAATTATTACTGAATATATATAAACGACTACAGTTTAAAATCAATTTCAATTAATATTATATATGGTTCTTGTTAACAACTTTGTTTATTATTTTACAGTTTTGAATTTTTCCTTAAATATATATGAGTTTCGTTATTAATGGTGCTCTATATAGAGTTCCAAAAATAGAAGAGAGTTGCAATAAATTATTTGCAAAGATTTTCTATTAATAATATGACAGAAGTTAGATGTAGTATTATGATATTATGTTGAGATAAAAGATGAGTACAAATGAATCTATGAAATGAAATGAAGATTTTTAACTAATCTCGAATATTTATTCGTGTTATACAATTATTTGCATAAAAATAAGGATAATTCTTTAATAATAATAACTGAATCGAGAATTCAGATTTTTCAGTTTTTGATTGACTAGTTATTCTCACTATTTTGAGTTACTCAGGCCTTCAAAAAGAATTTCGAAGTCCAGAAAATAAATTAAAAATGTTTATAATAATTAAAAAAATTCATATTATAATTAATTTCACACAAAACGCTTCAAATTAAATATTTTACTCGTAAACTGTATCTTTTTATTTTTATCAAGTCCATTATTATATAATATATATCTTTTCCTTTTCCTCTCTTTTCTCTCATGTTCTTTTGTTATTATTTATAAATAGGCCATTATCATATATTTTTTATTTTACCTATTAGTTCAATAGATTTGTTATGCAATTTCCATACTATATCTCCATGTTGATAATATTTAGACAAATTGTATTTGAGCAATCCTCTATTATCTTCCTCTATTATTTTCCATTTGTATCTTTCTCGTATCATTTTCCACAAATCTTTTTCATTATTTACTATCTAAAATAAAGAATATTTAATAATTAGCAATAAATTAAAAATTAAAATCTATGTAATACCTATATAGAGAAAGTGTTAAAAAGATATTTTGTGTTATTAATATGTATACCAAGCAATTATAAGAGCAACTTTTATTTTAAATTATATGTTAATAGCAACCAAGTATAACAATTTTTTTTCTTATATAAATATTTATGTACTAGATCTATATTAAATTTGTTTTAAAATCTTATAACTGATTTTGTATGACTATAATTATATTTATCAAAATGATGTCATAATAATTACTGTGGCTATCTCGGAAGTATATACAGGTCAGTCCATCAAATAAAAATTAGTTTTGGGCGTCACTGTCACCGATCTTCTTGAAACTCCGTAAGTTTGTTATTGATATCGAAAAAAAATCTGTGCAAATTTCAAATTTTTTGAGCAATTATAGTTTCTCCACAATTATATGGAGAATTATATGGAGATTTTTTTTCGATATCAATAACAAACTTACGGAGTTTCAAAAAGATCGGCGACAGTGACACCCAAAAATAATTTTTATTTGATGGAATGACCCATACATATATGTATGTGCACTTAACAATGGAAATATTTTGATCCACTTATTTGATTTACTTACCAAGTCGTCAGAGTTATATGCAGATGGAAGATTGTCATATAAAATGCAAAATAAATTTTTTCCAAGTTTTTCGAGAATAAAAGAAGTGTTGTTTCGTTGTATAAAATTTCGATTGTAACAATACCGACTGTCATAAAGCTCTACATGATGATTTTGGCAGTGCGAAAATGCAGACAGATGAAACTGATTGCAATCTATGTCACAACAACAATTGATGTCGCATGAAAATTTCTACAACAAAATGGTAATGTGTAATAGAATCATAATAATTCTTTCTTTATAAATACATAAATAAATATTATTTTTATAAATATTAATCATTAATTACTTTAAAACAATTAAAAATGTAATAATATTTATCTATATTACGTATGTAATATTATTAAAATGTATATTTCAAATGTATTATTATTAAAATATTTATTTTCTTTATTTAATACACACATAATTTAATAGTTTATATCAAAATCAAATATTTATTATTATTATTTGCGTACAATCAAATTGCACTCGCATATTTCTCTTTCTTCGAGTATAAGAACTTCGTCATCATCTGGATATATAATTGGTGAGGACAGTGTTATTAAAGTTGATTCTAATTCTTGTTGCTCCGTTACATTAGAATTTATTCTTGAAGATGTTATCTCTATAGGAATGATAGTAGTGAATGAATTATTCTCTTCTATATCGTTTGACGAATCTCCTTTCATTGGAAAAGTATATATAGTTGAATCAATTGATTTTTTGCAATCTGTATCATTTATACAGATTAATGTATCTTCAATTTTTGTTACATACGCCATATTAATGATACACGATAGAAATAACACTAGCGAAAAGAACATTTTGCTGCAAAAAAAATATATTGATATTGTTTAAATATATTATCGTAAAATTTATTTTAAATTATACATTTCTTCATGATGCTAGATTCGATTCGCACATCACGTTAAGTCATAATGGACCGCTGATCTTCAAATGTATGTATGTACATAGTTTTCATTGTGTTTGCATCTTTTCTATTTGTAATGCGCGACCTGAATTTGGCATCATTGCATCGCTTTTTATACATGAAATGTTACTCTTTGTAATTTTCTTGGAATCCTGCTTTTTGGCATTAAAAATCAACTGCTCGTAATTTATATTTGCACAATTTGTTCACAACTGACATCCAAATTTATCAAAATTTTTTGCTAGAATATGCAAATCAACGATTACTGTTCCCACACTTTGCGTAAATATTTCAAATCTATCTAATGTGTTGATTAAAACACTTGGTGACTTTAATTGTAAACTTCGTCCCAAGAATTTATCATACAATCTATCTTTCCATGTACCTATACAAAAGTTGTTACCGAGAGAATATAATAATTAGTTTGGTTTTGTAAAAATTAAAAATTTTATAAGTTTAAAATTATGCATACCAATAGGTTTCCATGTATGACATTCTAATACGTGCAAACCAGGAGATAATGGAACATTGTATATTCCATATGCAAGAAATAGTATCCTTCCATAATTATCTCTATAAAATACTTGCAATAATAATTTCGGAGAGTTTTGTAAAGTCTGAGTTGTATAATGCAAATCTATGGGATGATCCCAGATTGGATTATTAGTATAAATATCGCAACTCTCTTGTGTTTGTCCTTCTTCTTGTCCTGATATTATTTTCCAACCATTACCTAAGAGATAATAATAAAAATATTTCTTTTCTGCTATATATATCTATTAAAATAAATATATATATATATATATCTATTATATTATTTGTAAAATCATGAATTTGTTTATCTTACCAACATAAAAATTCCATTTGCAGAGTAGATGCGATTGTTTAAAATTCTTTGCGGATGAAATATGCCCAATTAAATGCAATTCGGCCATGCCATAAAATCATACTCTATGTGATTTATAAAATATATAAAAAATATACTAATTATATTTATAATACATCTACCTACAAAGATTTTTATAAAAGAACAGCGGATCTTTGAAAACTATACAAAAAAAAGATGAGATTAACTTGAATGTTTTCACTTTTTAAAGTGTCACTTGTACAATAAAAAGAAATAAGTTTTAAAAAAATGTGCAAATTGGAAACTTGCACATTGCTTCTTCACCATTCTGATTCATTCCTTACCGAAGTAGAAAAATAAGGAAGCAATGTATGTACACACGCACACATGTGTCCACACACACACATACACATACACACACGCGCAGGCACACGCACACGCACAGTGTTTTATAAATGGTTTCATAAATATAGGTAAAACTTCAGGAATGCATTCCTAACACTGGTCAACACAATTTTGTCACAAAAGGAATGGCAGGTGATTTCGATAGGATTTCTCGTAGATTACGAATCTGAACCGGAAAATGTTCCATCACGTTTTTGAAAAAAACGGGGTTAAGTATCAAAAACCCGTTTTCAGCATTTTTTGAACCTTTGTGTCACAAAGAAACGGGACGTGATAGAATACTTTTTGAGGAGTCAAATTAAAGCTTAAACTTTAAACTTAAATGTTATGAAGCAAAGAAATATATATGTGACAATATTATGAAATTGTGTAGTACAAGTTTTTTGACTGAACGCGCGCCAATTTTGATCTCGCGTTTGACAACAAAACTGATTTTGAACTTGGTATTTAAATTTAGAATAAAAAATATCGAAAAAAAATTAAAAATTTTGTCAAAATACTCATATGTAAATGACGGAGTCAAATTAGTTTGTTCAATAAATAAATTTTTTTGAAAAACACTCCAAGTAGTGAGAGGTGAGAGAAATAATTTTATGATGCGACCCCGTAATTTACACAAAAACTTTAATAATTCAGAAATTATAATATCATTTCCAGACTTATATTGATATAACTTTTTTTTCTTCTCTAAGCAATCCATTTCTGAAGTTTTGCCTATTTATAAAACACCCTGTATATTTAATAATTCAGAAATTATAATATCATTTCCAGACTTATATTGATATAACTTTTTTTCTTCTCTAAGCAATCCATTTCTGAAGTTTTGCCTATTTATAAAACACCCTGTATATATAATCATACATAATGTATATACCCAGATAGCCACAGTAATTATTATGGCATCATTTTGATGGCAAATGATGCATGTTGACATCAAAATGATGTCATAATAATTACTGTGGCTATCTGGGTAGTTATTGAATCATACCAAATCTTTCTATACGCATTATAGTATTTTGTTATGTATCTGTAGAGTTTAATATTATATATATCTGTAGAGATATATTCTTTCACTCAGAAATAAACAAATTATATATATAATAAAATACGATTTTTTAATATTTTATAATTAAATATAAATGTAATTAAAAATATAAAAAATATTATTCTTACCAATTTTTGCAATAAATTCCATCCACTGCGAAAGAGTTGTTATCTTTATAATGTATTAAGATCTTTTATTTGTTAGAACGAAATTATTTGAGAATATTCACACATACAATAACAGCAACATTTTTGTCAATTTTTATTTTTTACTATATAACTTAATTTATAAGATTGCAAAACTGTATTTTTTTGTTTTAAGTCGACATTAAATTAACGAACGATGTAAAAAAAGTTGAATAAATGAAATTATTTCATACTTTTTTATGTGATATTACATATATATATATGTATATATAGGTATATATATATATATATATATGTATACTAGAAATATACTAGAAATATACTACAATACAATCTTTTCAAAAAAATTCTGCAATTAAAATAAAGTTTCTATATAAGCACACACAAAATATTTAAATCCTATTTCACGACCAATACTAACTGATATGATGATGACCGATGACTGATGCAAGATGCACTTCATTCAATGTTTACGTACGCGTTGTTATGACAACGCGCTAGTAACAGTAAGTTTATTCGTTTTGCTTGCACTTTATTTTACATTCAGATCTTTCGTTCTCTCATTCAACGTCCGAATATACTATATGGTTTTATATCATATAAGTGCAGAAAATTCTAAGGAATGCGAGTAAAATAAAACTAATAAATTTTTTTATAAAATTTGAAATATATTAAAAATATACTAAAAGAAAGTTCATCATTGAATGTATTCAATATAACATTTACTGATTGAAGGAGCTTATAAGCAAGAAAACATAGATAAACACAATGTGATATGATTGGCTATCGAATAGAGAATTTAAAAAATCCCGAAAATTGTTCTATTTGATAACCAATAACCATGTGTAATTGTGTAATATTAGGTTTCTTGGTCGTGGCCTTAAGTCGTCTTAGGCCGGATCTACAACAGGTGCAGTAAGCCCTAAGCTTTAAGAAATTCGCCAATCACAGTCAAGAATGAGGGGAATAATTGACTGTGATTGATCAATTTCTTAAGGTTTAGAGCTTACTACACCTATTGTAGACCCGGCCTTAAAATTCCATTCAAATCAAACGTGGCCACATAGCATCTCAAATACTGTTCTTAAAAAAAGAGGAAGTGTCTCGATTGACCACGTTGATATTGAGCACAGTCAATTATAACGGCCAGTACCTATAGGGTTTGTTGCTACATTAACCGATTGGAAGGTTCTGTGGCCAATATGAACGTGGTTAAATGGATCCCATCTAAAAAAGACGATTATATATATATATATATATATATATATATATATATATATATATATGTATAGATTATACATGAACGATCTTAAATAAGATCGGCCTATGAATATCACCCATAGATTATTCTCTACTGATATTATGCGCGTAATGTCAAAATTTAAAAAAAATTTGAAAAATTCAAAATAGGTAAGTCTCGCATAAACGATATGACAATGTAGCAAAATTCATGTATGTTCAACAAATATATAATTCATCGAACACTCCAATTATCATTTAATAATTTCAAGATCGATTCAATTTATAATATTTATGAATATATACGACTTAGAGATCACTCTAGAGAATCTTTAATATGAAATATTTATATGTATATTACAAAGGAAATTTAAATTAAATTAAAATAAACATTGTGAAATTTAACATTTGCAATGTGTCACGATTTATATATTATATATTAAAGATTTTCAAATCGAAAATGTGAGATATATGAAGGGAATATATCAAAATATTATCAAAGCTTGGTTAATTCCATTTAATTATTTATATTTTACTCCAAAACTATGTCATGAAGAGCGCAGATGCGTTATTTTATTTTCTGAAAAAAAATACACACTGACTTAAATGGCAAACATGTCATAGCTTTCGCCCACACAATTCTTGTTTTTCGTTTCTGTCGCTACTTAATTGTAATTTTTGTGTTTCTTTCGTCTCTTTTTTCTTCTGCATATTTTCTTCTCTCATTCACTTAACCATTCATTCAATACACACACACACATTGCTACTTTTTCTTTCCTCAATCAGATCATTCAACTGTTATATGCTTAAAGTTTAGTTAATGATATTCATTAACTAAATCGTTTTTAGTTAATGATTGTTAAGATTATTGTAGATTATTAATTAGTAATCATTAGAATATAATATAATTGATGTACACATGTATCGTTGCGTGTCTATAATGAAGAATGTATGAATACCTGGATCCTTGGATTCGAACATTTATAGATAAAGAACTCATAGATGTTTAGATATTTGCGTTTTAGTTTTGGACTTTAAACTCCTTAAATTTCTTGCGTTCTAAAATTTTATTACATACAAATATCCATATGTTTCGTAAATTTATTAGGTCCATGAATTTCTAGGTCCTTGAATTAAAAACTCTTTAAATAACTAAAAATCTCGAATCTTTGGATTCTTGTATTCTTACCCATACAGCACACATCATTATAATAACATTGCAATGTTGTAAATTGCAATACAACATTACAAAGACATTGCAGCAACGTTGCAATGTTGTAATTGCAATGCAACATTACAAAGACATTGCAGAAATATAGAGCCACAAAATATCAGCACACTTGTACCAACATGATATTAATATTTCAGAAACATTGTAAAATACAAATTTTATATATAATAAATTTTTATAATAAATTTAAATAAAATATTTTAATTAAATATTTAAAGCTGAACGGCATATCGCGTATTTGTCATTGTTAAGAAATAGCTGATATCAAAACCATTTCCAATAAAAACATGCCTGCATCTCACACCGCATTACACACATTTTAATTAATATAATCTATCTTCTTTTATTATATTATCTCAAAAATTTCACATAATATTATAGCTATACAAAATATATAATACTATATAAATAATAACATTTTTATTTTTTTCTAATATAAAAAGAAATTAAAATTGTTTTAATTTAACGTTAACATGTTATGTGCAAGTAATGTGCAATTTTATGTTATTAACGTTAACAAAAGAACAAATAAAAACATTTAACTATAATGTATCGTCAATAATAACATTTATATACCCAAAAATAAATATACATGCAGTATTGCAAATTCATTACATTGCAATATTGCTATAATATTTTATTGTAATCTTCCTAAAAGCGGACATTTTATCATTGCTGCAATCCCACAGCAATGATGCAGCAACATTTGCAGTGAATTTGCAATGTTGCAATATTGCAGTGAAAGATTGCTGCAATGTGTATGCAATCTTTGTGTGCTGTATAGGTAGATTCATGGATCCGCGAATCCTGATTTTCAATTTGAATAATTTTTGCATTCTACCTTTTTTTATACATTCTATGTTTCCGATTGGAAGTATGTGTGTATGTACATTATTCGTAATTCATACTATATATGTCTCACTTTTATAATCATTCAAACATATCGAAATGTTCGCTGCACGTCTTTTTTACGTGTTGACGCATTTCATTTCACAATTCTATTTATATGCGCGCGCGCGCGTACACACGTGTATAATGTGTGTGTTTGTGTCTGTGTGTGCACGTGCGTGTGCGTGTGTGTATGTGTGTGTGGCGTGTGCGCACGCCCGCACATAAGAGCAAGTGTCTCTCATGTACATGTGTTATTTTTCGTGTGTGTATGTGTGTGTACATATTATGTATACATATATGTATTTATAAAACGTTCCAAATAGAACTAATATTTGCCGATTAAATCATTCGGACAAAAATTTCGTTACTTTTTTCTTTTCTTAAAACGTACAACAATAATTCAGTCTAATACGTTCCAAAGCACCAATTTATAATTATTCGATCATAAATTCATATATTTTTAATCTCGCCATACCAAAGCACATATTAATAAATTTTATTTCCGTTTACTTTTCACTAAAGAGACTAAAATCGAATTGCACTTAATGCAAAAGTCGATAAAAAACTTTTCTTTCACTTTCGTTTGTGATAACATTTTTTGTATGTAAATTAATATTTGTAAATAAACGCACTTTTGAATATAATGAAAAAATGTATCAAAGGTTTATGAGATATGGATTTTCCGCAGCAGGAATTTACCATAAGGATGTATGTACAGTATCAAGAATTTCTAGTAACATCGATATACAGTGTGTATAGAAGATTTAGTGTCAACAAATTACAATGTTAAGGAGATCTAGGGAAATAAGAGTCAACGACTACTAAAAAGATCTGTGCGCTCATGTATACTGTTTTAATGCCTATGTGCGTGCGCTTGTATCATTGTGTTTCTCCTGTAAGTAAGTATAAATGTGAATGTTATATGAAAGTACTAGTAATAGTATAGGTAATAGAGTAATATGATAGTAAAATGTAATAGCGATAGAGTATCTCAATAATATTAATAATAATAATAATAATAATAATAATAATAATAATAATAATAATAATAATAATAATAATAATAATAATAATAATAATAATAATAATAATAATATAATAGTAATAATAATAATATGTAGCAGTATTCGCGCGTATCTGCGGTAAAGTCTAATATAGTAACAGCAGTAGAGTTGTTGTAGTTATAATAAGTGTAATAGTAGTAGTAATAAGAGAATTTTATGCAAGCAACAAATGACGCGTTTGCAATGATGACACCGAATTATATGAGTCATTTTTATAGTAATTCTTGGAAGCTAGCCGATAATTTATGACACAGACACTTGCCAAGTGCAAAGTTTTTTAGTGCGGAAAGAACGATCGAAGTCTCTTGGATCTGAAATTTTTTAGGTTTTATGTTTTAGACACTAGATATTTTAGTTTAAAGTTTAATCGAAGAAACTGCGACAACAATATATCAAGTCATACATTAACTAAGTCATTATTAAATTTTGAGTTATTTCTCGTAAAAATTATATATATTAAAAAAAACTGTCGATCCAGTTTGTAATAGAATGTAATATAAAGAATGTGGTATATATTACGAAATGTTATCTTATATTTTAAATGTTTTAGTATATTATTAACTCAGGATCTTCGATCGCGTACAATTTTTCCGACAAAATGGATAGACACAGAGATACGACGCGCGTAAGTTTAGTGCACTTAACTGATTACGAACGTGAGCGCATATTTTGTGTATATACATACATACATACATACATACATATATACATACATACGCGCGCTTCTGTGTATGTACACACATATATATGGACGTATTACAGTTTTAAAAAAAACACAGAAACTCGATTCTACACTTGGCAGTATTCTGAACAATCGCCCGACAGGCGTTTAATTGTTTTTCTTTATCGCGCTGTTTTTGTCTTACATGCGGTTCTGAAATCTCGAAAAAGATGACAACATCTCAACAAGACGAGAATGACGTAGACGATAAACGTCCTTGGCAGTGATCGTAGAATTGCGTGTTCATTTTTGTCATTTGTTATGCCTTTTTCGATTTCTTCGTTAAATGTGTTTCATGCGATTTTAACAATATTTTTCTTGCAACTAAGTAGCATGTAATATTATAAGCATTGTTAAGTTCGAGGAAAGTAAAGCGAGATTAGCTGGAAATGCGTTTTATGTATTGTAATATATATAATTTGTCGCATAACTTGGATTCCTAATATCCTTGGATTGTTAACAAATTTATAAATTTGGTCGTCAAATTGATTAAATATTTAATTTTTTTTCAAGTTCTTAAATTTCTGGAGTTTGAAGATCTTTACTTCATTTAACTATAAAGTTTTTGAGATTCTTGAGAAATTTATTAATTCTTTCGATTCTTGAATTCTCGTATATCTGCTAGATTTTCTTTTACTATTAAACATTATTTTTTACGTACATATTTTAAAATAAGAAGAGTAAGAAATAATTATTTATTTAAATTATTGAAAAAATATTTGCTATCGAAATACTAGAAGAGTTTTGACTCGAATTTTATTTTACTTTACATTTTCTTAACCTCTTATTTTATAAAATGTTAAGAAAATGTAAAGTAAAATAAAAACTTTGTTTTATACACACACGCGTCCGCGCGCTTACATGCTGACGCACGCACGCACACACGCACACATAGACGTACACGCATACACTTTGGGTGGCGTTACTATTTAAAACTATATGTTTTCTTTACGCCAATTGATTTTTCTTATTACTTTGTGCATAAAAGTATTGAGATAAGATCATCGGAAAATAAATATTTTAAGAGATATTTTCATATAAGATCATGTTAAACTAAAAAGTATAAAATATCTCATAAACCATTCAGTTTTTAATCATTATACTTTTATAACTTCTTATATCGAATATTACAAGGAATCAATTTATGTAAAAAAATCATTTAAAAAAATTGTGTTGACCTCTAAATAATTTTGAAAAACACTATTCAGAGGCAACTCTAGGTCATGATATTATATTCCCCTTGAATCCCAACTTTTCTAGGAAATACTTTTCTCAAAAATGTTTTATTTTTAAGATAATCGATTATATCATGTAAAATAAAACATCTTATATAGGGTGTTTCTAAATAAGTGTCAAAACCTTAGAAAATGATTCTTTGTCAAAAATCAAGGGAGGTATTTTTATATTAAATATACTTCCTCTTACTAACTTCCTTTACTAACATCTACTAAAAGGCAAATGAAAAATATAGGCTCGAAAGAGTCTGAATAGCTAAGTTGGTAAGAGCAGTCGCCCGGAAAGACGCGGGTTCGATTCCCGCTTCAGCAACTTTTCGGACCTATATTTTTCGCGCCAATTTCTCCATATGTAAGTTTTGAGATTAATTTATATATAGAACTTAGTGATCTCAAACCAAGAGATAGATACAGTTCCGAATAATTAATTTTTCGTGCTTTGGCTCTGTTGGCCGATTTAAAAAACATCATAAATATACTCCCCCCCTGAGGAGTTATCTTAAAGAGGTAAAAGTTAGGTTTTTATTTTTTTCTTGAAAACTTCATCATTTCTTAAAATTTGTCGCACTTATTTAGAAACACTCCCCCCCCCCCACACACACACATCAGTAAGATATTTGCTATAGAATAAAAATTGCATATATATAAGTTAATAATATATGTATTTGATCAAAGTATTGTATTTTATATCAAAATATTTTTATAAAATTTAGGCTTGCAATAAGAATCGAAAGAACTAAAAAATTAAACATTTATTCAAGAGTTGAATTATTTAGGGATTAAATTATTCAGATGATTTATTAAAGGATTAAGAATCCGAGAATCTTAGAATTCGAGTATGTTGAGGATTCAAATTATTTAAGAATAGAGGGAGTTTTAAAAATCTAAAGATTCAAGAATCCAAGAATTTTGTCACTGTCTGTATTTTATCCTTTAATTCTAATCATTAAAGATTAAATGTGTTATATTCTGTTATGATTTCTGCAAACTATAAGAACTTTTTTCATAATTACTTAACTCTCATCTTACAATCCTCGTTTTATAATTATTTTTTCAAAATATTCTATATTAAGTAATATCCAATCTTAATAATCTTAATAATTTACTTTCGCAGTCTATTCTTTATGTCTCCCATCTATCTTGCTTTTCCTCTTTCACTTACTCACTCTCATTCTCTCATTCACTCTCTCTCTCTCTCTCTCTCATTCTCACAACACACACACACGCACGCGCGCGCACATACACACACACACACACACACACGCACGCGCACACACACACACACACACACACACACACACACACTCTCTCTCTCTCTCTCTCTCTTTCTCCATTTTTATCGATATAACAGTGCTCCAAACTCGCATGATTTCACTTACAATTTTCGTAGCAAGTTTCTTTTTTTCATTAAAAGATTAAGACGGACGGTTAATTTTCACGTATTCTTTATTTTCTGTTTGTGGTGAGCCGATATCCGCTGCTGAAGGCACAAGGCTTTGCACTAGAACTCGGTCACCTAGCTCATTCATCTACGACCTACTACCAAACTAGCCTCGCGTTCTTATGGAAAATGGAAGATTTAAATCTCAAGTGGGAGCATATATAACACGTTGATTAATCAATATCTGAAAAATTTTGATAAATTTTCTTAATAAAATCATTTAAAAAACAATTTTTCATTATTTTTTTTGAAATTATATATTATCTGTTACTGTTTCTATTTTTATAAATACAACATATACACAAAGAGGTTTATTTTTGAACACAGAAATGTAATCTGGAACAATATATCAATAACAATAATATAATGATAAATAAATGCTTAAAGGGTGCCTAATTATTATTTTAAAAGTGCGCAGCCGCTCAAGAATTAATTCAAATTAATGAATTTTAATTACTTTTGTTTTAGTGTATTTCTTATTTTATTGTATTTCTAAATAATCAATCGTCACGTCAGTTTCTCTCGTTCGATTGCTTTCGATATTTCCATTAATTTGTAACAAAAGGTGATCGATTTGTCTCATCATCAAGCGTATAATGTATCATTCGTCCTATTTCTTAACTATCTTATAAAATTTAATCTTCGATTATTTGTAACGAATCTTGGAGAAAACCGATTTTAAATTTCGATTCATTTGATCGAAAATTGTATTGTAAATAGTAATTAAATAATATACTAATAGTTAACATATATAAAAAAGTTCTGGAATTTTTAATTCCTTATAGCCTTAAATTCATTGATTCTCAGAATCTTCATTTTTTTAAACCATTAATTTTTCAGATAATAGCATATAAAATATTTCTTCTTACACACGTGCACGCACGTGTAAAAACAAACAAATAAATAATAATAATAGTAATAGTAAAATAATAGTAATAGTTGTGATAAATCACAATAAATTATTATATAATTCGCAATTTACAATCTTCGATTCAACAAAATAAATTCAAAATTGGTTTTACTCTATTTACTTAAAATATATATATATATCTCTTTTCTTTAATAAAAAAAATATTATGTATTCCCATATTTCTGTTTGAGAACAATCGGAGTGTCCTATATCATTACATTAGAGTGTCCTAAAAAAGATATTATTCTTGAATGAATATTGTTATATTTTCTCACATAACTTTGTAGGACGTCCCACACACACACACACACACATATATATATATATATATATATATATATATATATATATTTCTTAATTTCTCGCATATTAACGATGAAACTTTTCGAGATCTGATTAAAATCAAAGATCATATCGAGGCGAACATTGTTGGACATGACGGATTAAAACACGCGTTAACTGCTCATAAACTCCCGATTCTGAATAACTAAAATTAAATTCGATATTATATAAATTTTTTGTATTTTAATAATTATACTGATGAAGACCGCGTGCGGTCAAAACGTTTATTTTATTATGTTAGAATGACTGTATTTTTTGCGTAAGTTAATATCGAATGATTGTAGCTTAATAATTTATACATGAAATAAATGTTATTGGAGTGAACAACTTAAATAATAATTGCTCGATAAGTTGGCCTTTCATTTATCACTTTTTATATATTTCTTTCTTAAAAACATATTTTTTTGTTAAAACTTTAGCATAAAAAATGTATGCGTACAAAAAAAATGATTAATACATAACACAAAAATTTTTCTATGCCTCTTGCCTTACTCATTTACAAACATATTTTTGTGAAAAAAATAATGCATATCAATCAAAATTTCTGCTTTATAAGATTTCAACTTAAACATGTTATATCATGTAAAAAATATATCTCGCGAAAATATTTTCATTTTTTTAGCCCGTTTTTTTTGAGAAGGAAAGGGGACGTCCTAAACGATTTTATGATCTGTATTAGTAAAAATATTAATATATAGAATTCCAAGACGCGTTATCCTGCTGCGGTGTAGATCCTTTTCAATCTTTGACTTTAATTTTCTATTTTTTTGCTCTTAATTTTTCTCTCTCTCTCACTCACACACACGCACGCACGCACACACGCACACACGCACGCACGCACACGCACACACACACACACACACACACACACACACACACACACACACACACACACACACACACACACATGCACACGCACGCACACGCACACGCACGAATTCTCTCTCTCTCTCTCTCTCTCTCTCTCATTCTCTCACGTATTCGTATACATGCATGCACCTCGTTCTCTCTCTCTTTTTCTCTCTCTATATATATATATGAACAAATGTATATGCTAGCAAGATATATTATGCTGTATGTGTATGCGTGATATAGACTCTATGGTATTGTTATGTATTATTTTTTTTATCTTCGCGCTCCATTTGTGCGACGCTGCTCAACAGCGAACACTTTACGGGCTGCAGTCATCTTTGCTTCTTTTATGGTCAAAACTTGGGAGAATATTGTATTAGTGTTGACTAAAGATTTTAATTCTCGAACTTTCTTTTTACTAGCGGTATCGCTGATTACTTAAACAATTTTTTTTCGTCATTATCACCGATTCTTCTATTCTCACCCTGTTAACATATCTTTCTATTCTTTCCCTATTAACATATCTTTCTATTCTTTTCTTCCCTTATATTAACTACACTTGTCATTTTGCTATTCATTTTCTCATCAATGACAAATGTGATTCATTTGCGGTATCAATACCTTATATCATATAATACATTACATTTACATATCGAGTGTATGTAAGGATGTATCCAAGTAGGAGACATAGCGATAAAATGTAAATTGCAGGTAGCTTTCTTCATATATCTTCATTCTCTGTACTGTTCTTTTTGTATCACAGCCTGGGCCGCGCCACTGCCTTTCTTTCACAATAGAGTATAATCCTTTGCTCTTGTTTATGCTTCCTCTCTTGTTTGAAATGCGCATCTTTTCGCACGTTTCCAATAGCAAGGCTTTTTTCTTCATTCTCGAGCCGGCCCTACTTTTCTTGCGTGGGTTTCTTTATGCGAACAACAAAATATGTGTGTGATTTTGCGAGCAAGAGCAAATACCGATACGGTTGGCTCGTGGTTCATAGTGAGCAACTCGATTTAAATAAAATCTGTGATAGATGAATATTATAGAGATTAGATTTTAGTAAATAGGTGGCTGGACTTTTCCAAAGATCAGTTTCTATGGATTATACTGATTTGATATCATTATTATTTATTATTCATCTTTATTTGATGCCATAGATCTTTGTTAGCACGAAACCTCGTTTCTTTGAATCTTTTGTTTCATAGTACTATATGGATCAGCTTTTATCACAGGTGTTTTCTTCTTTTTTCGATCATATATATCCTTATTAATATATCGCTCTTAAATAAACGCACCATTTGTATCATTTATCATTTTTATAAAAAATTCTCTACATTTTTCTTTCTTTTTCACAGTTTTACATCTGTATATGTGTGAATCACTTTTTTGCATCACATATAATAAATTACACGCGAGTGGTGCAGGGCCGGCTTGTTTATACTTATCCTTACAAACCATATAAAGATCGATCAGTCCAGGATGATACCTAGAGGTAGTCGATCATCAAGAAAGAACAAATGATCGTAATGAATCTAGAACAGCGTCTGATACAATATGTTGACTTGCGACGGTGAGGCAGTGGCATAGTGGTGCACTAGTACAAGAGTTGCGCAGGCCGTTTTCCACGTCCATGCGTCCAATTGACGCCGTTGTTGCAGCTGCTATTACGACGTCAAAAGATTTGTTCAGCCGACCGGCGCAATCGCCGTTAATCGGCAACTGGGAAACTAGGGCATCACGTCCCAAATTTCGGCGAGGAAAACTGGCAGCTTCTTGTTCTTAAATTTCAAGTTCAAGCACATCTCACTGTTTTGATTGCCAAGGGTTCTAAGTTCGGTTAAAACTGACAGGAGCTTAGCGAAGATTGTACCAGACGATTTTTCGTGCCGGCGACGATTATCTACGTACGCTTTCAACGTCTTCAAATAGATCTCTTGAAGCTTCTCCACTTTTCTGCTTTCCACCAGATTGGGTCTCTCTGCAAATAATTAATACAATAATTATTAAGAAATTTTAATTATACGAAATGATAGAAATAAGGAAATTTAATATTAAAAGAAACACATAGTTGTTTACAAGGAAAAAGATGTAATCTAGTTGCAATTTACATACTTTTTTCAAAACAATTGTATTTCATTTATAATTAATTTCTTTATTTGATTTCTTTTATTATTTTGTAAAAGTATTAAGGTAAGATCATCAGAAAATGAATATTTTATATGATATTTCATAGTTTATGTAAGATTATGTCAAATTAAAATATAAAATATCTCGTAAACTACTCCTTTTTGGGCCACCTTATAACTTTTTATGTCGAACATTGCGAGAAAAACTATATTTAAAAAAAAAAAATGGAAATAGAGTCTATGAGAGCCGAACGCGAATGTATGTGTGCAAAGACCGCGAAAATTTAATTTTTTGCTGTCTTTATAATTGTGCACAAGGCACGAAATTTTGCTTAGCAATTGCTAAGACTTATTTAGGATAAATCTCTTACTTGATATTATTATTTCACGCCCGCTGAAAAAAGGCGTTTGTTTATCAATATACATAAGCGAGAGAAAGATATTGGTTCGTTTAAATGTTTAAATAGCTCAGTGGTATAAGAGCAGTCGCTCGGCAAGCAAAAGACTTGGGTTCGATTCTCGATTCAGCCGACTTTTTCGGACTGATATATTTTTCTCGCATACATCACTTCAGGGGGGTAAAAGGAGAACTTAGGAATTAATATTTCAAGTAAGAGATTTATCCTAAATAAGTCTTAGTAATTGCTAAGCAAAATTTCGTGTCTCGTACACAATTATAAAGACAGCGAAAAATTAAATTTTCGCGGTCTTTCACGCACATACGTCCGTGTTCGGCTTTCATAGCCTCTCTATTTCTAATATTATTTATCAATATAGGGAGCCTTACTTTAGTACTTTAATATTAAAAAAAAAGATAGTTCCATAAAAAAACCTTGAAATGACTTTGAACTAATGGCTAAAATGATTAAAGTGTTTTATATATAATATGTTAAATTATATAGAATAAAATTTAAGTATTAGTTTTAATTTTGAGATTTTGAAGATAGAAGAGATATTATAAATGATAATCAATACGATACATCGTGTATTATCATCACTTTAATGATATATTTAAAATCTATTGGAAAATACATTTTAGTTGTTATTAATTGTGATTAATATTAATATTAATCGCTTTATTTCAACTAGTTATTTATTTAATTATGTATAATGTTACTTGCTTGTAATATACAATATAATATAAAAATAAAATATACGAACCTGAAAAAATGACAATAGCGGTAAGTAAAGCGTACTCGGCATTATTGACCTTCATGGCAAACATTTGACGACAGAATCGTAAAAGATCCTCGATGGTTTCTCCCATACCAGCAACATTATAGCTATCACGCGTATATGGTTGATTGTTTGCAAAAATGATACTATCGGTTTGTACGTCGTATTTTCTTGCCATTCGCAGCATCATCACTTCACTGGAACATGCCTTCAACAGGGTAATCTGATCTTCGCGCATTAGCTCGTTGAAGCCGGGTAACCTCTTTGAGAACTCGACGATCAACTGAACAGTCAGAATTGTAATTTCAGTGATGTGCCTGAAACTATAGTCACTTGGATCTTCGCCCTCCATTGGTTGATTCTGAGAGACAAAGAAACACATTATATTAAATGTTAAATCACGTAACGCATTAATCGTTAACATTAAATTAAACATTTGTACAAGATCCTATATAATTTATAAAATCTGTACAATTAGATATAGATTAACGTGTATATCACGATATATTTTTGTTTAAAATTATGTACTCGTATATGCGCGCGCATATATATGTATTGCATTACAAGTATGTTGCAAATTCAGTTTTTTAAAAAGTTTATAACACTAGCGCATATAAGAAGACTAATAATACAAAATTTATAATATAAATAATATAAATAATACAGTCACACGAATGCACAATAATGTAGGATACATACGGTGATTCTTTTCAGATCCTCTTCACTTGGTTGTTCAAATTCACATTGGAAAGACACGAGTCTATTTATTAGTTCCTCTTGTTCAGGACTAATAGGTTTGATACAAGTATAAGGGCTGACAGGAGTAAGAATGCCACTACTTCCAGACATAGACAACGATTCGGTTTCCGCTGGCTCGATTTTAACTCCCATCTGATCACCCATTCCGGCGCTGCCCGGCGAACCATTCATCGTCGTACTGTTCGGCTTGTCCTTTTCCTGTAACGACACATTACACAAGACATAAATATATAGTAAAATATTAAAAAATGGCAGATATTGCCGTTGATGTCAAATGCAGAGTTGCTTTTTTACATTACCCAATATACAATTTATATGGTTCATCTAAAACAAAAAACTCGATTAATTCTTTAAATATACAGAGATAAATATTTGTCGTAGCAAATTTAAAAAATTCGCAATATTTGTAAAATGACACTTATTTGAATACAAGAACAAATATTTTGTTTATCGTTTTTTGACTGTTAAAAAAACTAAGGCGTTTAAATAAAAATCCTACGACAAAGACTAAAGAATCAATCAAAAAATTTTTTTTTGTTTCAAATGAACCATATAGATTGCATAGGATGGATACCGTAAAACGCAACAGTATCTGACGTCAGCAGCAATATCTAACATATTTTTTAATATTTTTCAATAAAAATTTTACTTTACATTAGTAAATATACATATAATAGTCTGGTGAAAACTCTATTATAATACCTAATCCTAATATTTTCTGAGAAAAAAATCATAAATATAGGATTATTTTTTGGTACCTCTGGGTGTATATTCCCTCTTAAGTTTTAATTTTTTCTTAACCCTTAGTCCCAACGGTTCTTTTCGGCACCTTTAATCCCGACTCATGGGTCGTTTGCGTCTTTGCGTTATCTGGATCAGTAAAAACCTTAGAGCATATATAGTATACCTAGGGGGAATAGGAGCGCAAAACTGTGTCCAAGTTGGGTGCGAGAGGACCACGTTTTTAAGGAAAGAGAAGGGTAGATTGTTACCTCCGTTCGCAATGCGCAAACGCGAATTAGCGAAAGCACCAATTACATTTCCAGTTTCAAACGGCGCGGTGAGCGTGACGTCCCGTGACGTCATCTACGTTTGCGCATTGCGAGCATAGGTTAAAAGCTATCTTTCTCTCTCGCACCCAACTTGGACACAGATTTTTAGCACGACAGACAAAGCAATTCCCCCTCCAGGTATATATGCTCTAAAGTAAAAACGCTTTAAAAAATCTGAAGAAATTCATGGAGCTTCTTGCAACCTTCAACTTGATGTCCCAATCATAATATTTCGATAAAAATTATGTTTTTACATAGTTCTATTAAGAAATGGAGGTACCTAAGGAAAAATCACTTGTTCACTTAAAATATCATAACTTTAAGCCAAAATTTTTCATAAAAACAATAGTACAAAAAATTGTATTAAAAAAAAATGCTTAATTTTTGAACCTCAAAATGGCGAAAATTTGGTCCGCGGTGAGATTGTCGTGCTCGCTGTGACGACCTGAGGGGGACTGACGCTCTGCTATTCCGTAGGCGGGTCCTCGGGGTGCATAACCTTTTTTAGGTAGGGGATATGGCGCATTCCGTACCCGTTTTCAAAAGTTACAGCACTTTGAAATTTCGTTTGGGTCGCAAACGACCCATGAGTCGGGACTAAGGGTTAACTTTCTCCAAAACAAATTATTCAAATAAAGCTTTGAGGCTAAGTATGTAAGAAATTAAGAATATTTATAAAATATATTTGGCCTAGTTAAAATTTAATTTACTATTTTTGAGCTTTCAACATTAAGCTTTTATTCGATTAGATTTTACTCAAGATTTCATGAATCGTAAAGAAAAATTTCAAAGAGTATCACGAAAATATTCACATTAAAAAAAACTATAATATAACAGAGATATTATATGTATAATATAAATAATGTTAGGATTGTGTGTGCTTTCTCTCTACCTTCTGTGCTTTCTTCTCCTTTCTCTTTACCGCACATTGGTACTCGGGCACAACGCATTCAGGTCTCATACCGACCGTCAAGCATTTCTTTAGCCTGCACTCCTGACACTTGCGGCGCATATACATGTCGATTTCGCAGCCATTGCCATACTTGCACTGGTATACAGCATTTCTGGTGATGCTGCGTCTGAAAAATCCTTTGCAACCCTCACACGTTAGAGCGTTGTAATGATAACCAGATGCACGATCGCCGCATACAAGGCACAATTCTTCCTGTTGCCGTGGCGTGGGTCCTTTTCTTTTCTTTCCGTCACATCCTTCACTATTACCGCTTCCACCCCCACTGCCATTGCCACCTCCGCTGCCATTACCACCCCCGGAATTATTTCCATAACCGTTTATTGAACCCGACTGAGACAGTTCGTCCCTACCTGAAATACAAAATTTGAATTTATATTGACAAAAATTTTAATAAAAGCACAAACTTTTTTTCTTTAATATAAATAAAATATAATATATATATATATATATATATATATATCTTATCGCAACTTTCTGTTTTTGTTGCTCATATATATAAAATAGTGAATAGAAACTGATACTATATAGTATAATTTTGACGAAAAACTATTGTATTCGATAAACCTTTCAAATATTTTCAATAAGTTTATATATTAATTTAAATTTAATTAATTTTTTAATTCTAACGAAAAATTATTTAGTTTCGTTAGGATAACGCATTGTCATCCGCGATTTGGCTCTTGTTGCCCGTCTTATACGTTAAATTTATATTTATATTACAGAGCCTTGTTAAAACTCTTATATTTGATACACGCTGGCTTAAAAAATGCGTTTGTTTACCAACATTAATATATATAACAGAGAAAAGTATAGAATCGAAAGGATCTGAATAGCTCAGCTGGAAGAGCAGTCGCCCGGCAAGCGAAAGGTCTCGGGTTCGATTCCCGATTCAGCGATTTTCGGATCTATATTTTTCTCTTGCATTCATTTATTTATTTTCCGTAGGGGGGTTAAAGGGGTATTGAAATTAAATCTCAAAATATGAGATTATTTCATATTTAAAATCTTGGCCGTGTCCAAGTAAAAATTTGGTGCCTTGTGCACCGGTATTTAATTCTAACGAAAAATTATTTAGTTTCGTTAGGATAACGCATTGTCATCCGCGATTTGGCTCTTGTTGCCCGTCTTATACGTTAAATTTATATTTATATATTAAATTTTCGATGAATTAAATTATATTGCACACTTTTATATTACATATTGCAATATAACTAATATAACATTATGTTTATAAACAAATAGTGTATATGCGTGTATAATAATTTTCAGTATATGATATATATATATATATATATATATATATATATGTATATAATTTGTTCATAAATATTTACAGGTCTCATCTATAACTGGTATTCTATAAATATGTATATCAATATTCATAGATGTCTCTTCTAAATAAATATAAATCCGTATTAATTCATATTAATCTATTAATAATAAGAATATTTTTAAGTCAGCTCCTTAATTTTTAAAACTACAATCTACACTTCATTCCTCTCGACCAATAGAGCCAAACGCGATGTTATTGCGATAATTAAGAAAGAAAGAAAATTTGGAAATTAAGGAATTTGAATCCTAATGGTTGAGATCTCAGAAATTCCCCTTGTTCCTTCTCTTAACATTCCCTGTAAAGAAATAGGCGAGAAAAATATTGGTCCGAAAGTTTTTGTGATGTGACGGAAAAAAAAGAAAAGGACCCACGCCACGGCAACAGGAAGAATTGGCCCGATTCAGCCGACTTTCGGACCAATATTTTTCTCGCCTATTTATTTACAGGGAATGTTAAGAGAAGGAATAAGGGGAATTTCTGAGATCCCAACCATAGGATTCAAATTCCTTAATTTCCAAATTTTCTTTCTTTGTTAATCTATTAATGTTTAACAACGTTATTCAATTAATCAATCCTAAATGACTATATTATGTTGTATTTGTAATACAAAAAAAATATATTTTAATATATTTATTGCATTATATTCAAAGGTAATGGCTCTTGAAAGATATATTTAACAGAAAACTAATATACATATAATTATTATATTAGTTTTCTATGTATAATATTAAACATAATACAACATAAACATGATTAAAAATTTAGGTTAGCTTGGGTTTCTTAAAAATCGGTAATATAATATTTTGCAATGATGTCAAATATTATTAAAAATGGCCATGTGTGATTGTGATCTGAAAATATATGTGCGTATCCGTATCAACTCTTCCTTACTACCAACCGGATAGACGATAGACGAACAGGTTTCCGTAACCTTTATAGCGATATCGTTACGCGTCTCTATTACCTCTTTTATCTATTTCCATTCGCCGAGTAAAGCGTAGACATGTTAAGTTAGAAGTCATGGCCGGTGAAAGTATGAACACAACTACACGTATTTCATAGATGCGTATATGCTCAAATATATGCTGTATAAATATATATATATATATATATATATATATATATATATTTATACAGCATATATTTGAGCATATACATATATGTGCACATTTATATATATGTATATATATATACAATATACATATATACGTAAATATACATATAAATATATTTCATATGCGGGCGGATAAAAGTTTACCAATGATAAAGCTAATCTAAACCATATAATAAATAGTCGCATTTAGTCTCGTGCTATTTTCAAGAGAATCGGTTTACTGTCTCTACACACACACACACTATTATGTATTACTATGCTTATATATCTTATTATATTTAACAATAAGCATGGAAATTACTTATAACTTTATTTCAACAAGTAACACGTACATCTGTATCTTGTCTATTTTCTTACATTGTGCGTGTCTTGCAATATATATATATATATTAATTTTTCCAAATTATTGAATTATTTTAAGATTTCTCTCTCTCTCTCTCTCTCTCTCTCTCTTCCCCCACTATATACAGTTAAGAGAGCACATTATTATTATCATAATAATTTATTTCAACATTAATTAAATTATCTGTTATATTTTCATAAATTATATGCACGTGCATACGTGTGTTATAAACATTTTTTGTATTATTATAAAAAGTTCTAAAAAAATAAGTATTTAGGAAAATAGAGATATACATATATACAAATGTAGATTTCAAGTTATGATTGGCAACTACGCATGTGTTTCCATACTAAGTAAGAAAGACTCGACGCGCGAACTTGCGCGCGGTTGCTGGCTTCAATATTCTTCAACAAGGTTTCCATGTTGGTTAGTACCTCTCTCTCACGACATAGCAGTGAGCGGCCTTGACTCTGGCTCTCTTGGTGAATATCTATACAAACGGACGCACACAGCCACTCGTGTCCTCCTTGTTCTCTTGTCTTACCTAACAAATGGCGAGTTTTTCCCTCTCTATTTCTCCCACCATATCACACTGTGCTCACAGTGCTGAGAGACGAAAGCTAAAACAGGCCAGTGAACACTGCCTCGTTTCCTTCCAGAGATCAGAAGAGATGGTAGACTGGTTAAACGAGCGCGCGAAAAGAGGAAATGGAAAGATGTAGACAAAAATCCATACAAAGCGGAAAAAAAGAAATAGATTTACGTATAGGATCCCGTAAAAATATATATGTATATTGAACAAATACGTATGTCAACAATATATATTCCCGATTCAGCGACTTTCGGATCTATATTTTTCTCTTGCATTCATTTATTTATTTTCCGTAGGGGGGTTAAAGGGGTATTGAAATTAAATCTCAAATATGAGATTATTTCATATTTAAAAATCTTGGCCGTGTCCAAGTAAAATTTGGTGCCTTGTGCACCGGTATTTAATGCTAACGGAAAATTATTTAGTTTCGTTAGGATAACGCATTGTCATCCGCGATTTGGCTCTTATTGCCCGTCTTATACGTTAAATTTATAAATATATATTGCTCTTTCTAATTTTTTTCAAATTTGTAAAAGTCATAAAGCATTTTTGTCAAATGGAAATCTGGAAATACAATATTAAATATAGTACAGAAATTCCGAGCATTAAAAAAGATTATAATATCTAAAATATTTTATATTTAATATTTGTAACACTAAAAATCAACATGTATGTCATTAAATTTTTCTTTAACAAACATAAGGAAAAATAATTGTTTGACATATAATATTTGCGAAATTTTAAAATCCATATTTTATTAGTAGTAACTGAATCTCAAGTTATAAATATTTAATTACATATTCAAAATATAAAAAGCGTTAAATATTTATTAAAAATTGTTGAAATTTTACATGCGTAAAATTTAATTTGCAAAGAGTTTTTTATATATTTTTATTTATATAGTAGCACACAATTAGAGATGTACTCATTTTTCGATAATCTTATCTTTTTCCTAAAAAGCGATTTTTGAAATCATTTAAAATCATTTGATTTTATTTGTTTTTTAAAAATGAAATTACTTTAATTTTTTATATAAATCGATTTCTTACAATATTCACAGTATAAAAATTATAAGGATAAGATGGTCAAAAAGTAAATAGTTTACGAAATATTTCATACTTTAATTTAACATGATTTTACATAAATTATGAAATATCTCTTAAAATATTAATTTTTTAACAATATTAGCTCAATAATTTTATGCATAAAATAATTCAAGAAAATAATCGGTGTAAAAAAAATACATAGCTGTTTGTAAAAAAGTGTGTAACTGCTAGTTGCAAATTACATACTTTTTCTTACAAATAGCTGTGTTTTCTTATACAAAAAATTATGGTAGTCCCATTAAAACATAAATGATCATTAAATGACTTCGAAAATTATTTTTTAGGAAAAATCAATAGCGCCAACTTTTTTCTTCCTCTAAATCCTACAACTTTTGTACGAAACTGTTTAAAAGAATTAGGAAAAAAGATATTTGAGTTAAGTCATTAAAATAACTGTGTGTGTGTGTGTGTATGTGTGTGTGTGTGTGTGTGTGTGTGTCATAAAACATCTATAGTTTTATAACAATGTAACAACATTATACTCAAATATAAATGTTTAAAAAAAGTTGATGCAACAAAATGTTAGTAGTATACCGACAATTTGCTAGAAAATTCGATTAAATTATTGTGGCAGATTGGATACTGCATTAGACTTAATTTTGATTAATAGATTGCTATCAATGTAATTTGACTGCAGAAATATGGTTGTTGATTTTTTTCGATCTGCATTACACACACATATACACACACACATACACACAAACTATACTTGCCAGAGATCTGTTTAATTTTTCGCTTTTAATTTACGCCATTATATTTTGTTAGCAAAATATCGCATTCTATTAATATTTTGTCGATTAGCATGATATGATAGCATGCTAAATCTTGTATATCAAATTCTATTTTTTTTGTCGACAAAGTA